CACAGGAGACCCGCCCCACGAAAGCAGACCACACACCGTGGGTCAGATCACACTTTTCTTTCCTTTTTTAATCTAAACTAGGGTTTTCTACACATAGAATTCCATTCTTTAGGGGGTTTTTCCTTTTTAAACATTTTGTGAGTGTCTCGGGGGAGCCGTGAGCTTCCTGCGAGACTCCTGTCCTCCCCCCGTCTGTTCGGCCACCCCTGCCCGCTGTCCCCTCGCCGGCCCCCCACCGCCTCCCACCCGCCCCTCCGGGCCCCGCCACCCGTCCTTCGGCGTCCCTTGGGCATCTAGCCTCCTCTCCCCTCGTGGGGGTCGTGGTGGACAGACTGGCCCATCTCTGGGGCTCTACCTCCTGGGGCTGCTGGGCCTTGTTGGGACCCCTGTGGAGGGTCACAGGCCGTGCACGGTGCACGGTGCAGGTGCACGCATCCTGCCTGCCCGAGTCCATGCTGGCGGGTTGCCTCGGGTCTGTGTTGTGCGTGGGACGGCTCTGACCACGTGGCTGCTGGCGGGCCCCGCCCACCCCTCCCTGTCCCTCCCCGCTCCTGACGTCCACCCGGTTGCAGGGGAGTTGCCTGGCCACCAGTGCTGCGGGTCTGCCGTTATGGCAGCTGCAGGACCCCCTCCCCAGCTGTTCCCCAGCTCCCGACTCGCCCGCCACCTGCCTGCTCACCAATAAAGAAAGCCTGAGCCGTCTCGTTCTCGGGCTCCTGTGCACACCGCCTGCGTCTTCTGGAGAGCTTGTGGGGGCGGGAGCGCCCCTGGTGCTGAGTCCTGGGTGCAGTTGGGGTGCATGGGAGGGGCTGACCGGCTGGCCAGGAGCTTTGTTCCCAGGATGAAGGCTAAGGGTAGGGATGGAGTGTGGGGGGCAGAGGACCATGGGTGCCGTGGGAGTGTTCAGAGAAGAACTGGGCCCCGTGGTGGGTGTGAGCTAGGTTCCTACGTCCACGGGGCCCGGGACTCCTTCCGGTGGGTCCCCCCGGACAGGACCAGACCCACAGCTGCCTGGCACCTGCCTGCCCCAGGCCAGAGGTTCCCTGTGGTGTGAGTGGTGTCTGGGGAGAGGGGGGTGTCCAGGACCCCACTAATGGGCCCAGCCTGGACGGGCAGTGCCGCCCGTGGTGACAGAGGTGGCCCTTCTGAGACTGGCCCCCAGGACGAGGGGTCCCTGTTCGGCTGAGCCTAGCCTGACCCCTGGGGGAAATGACAGTCTGGACGCTGGGTGGTGCTCTGGGAACAGGAGGAGGAGGCAGGGCCTTGCTACTGAGGCCCCCGCCTGGTACCAGAGGGGAAGCTTCTCAGAGAAGGGGACCCCACTGCCCACCTAGGGCCTGAGCTGACCCAGCACCTCCCCTGTGGACCTGGGCACAGGCCTCTGGCCCGGCCAGAGCTGAGGTCCCGGAGCGGCCAGAAATCAGGGTTCGGGGGGAGATTGGTCTTTTTCAAGGCTGGCAAGTTAGATCCCGCACAACAGTGTGAAGAAGGGGTCGGCCCACGAGCCACGGGTGGGAGGCCCGGCCCCCGGGGGTGGCTTTCTCAGGCCCCGGGCCGCCTAGCGTGTCCACCCGCCCGGCCACGTGCTTGGGCCTCCGGGCAGCAGCAGGTGGTTTCCCTGGGCTTCTGTGGCTGGAACAGGGTCCTTTATGGGGCCCCACACCTTGGCCTGGGGGGCTGCGGGCCTGGCCCTTCCCGCTGGCCATCAGAGGGAGCTACGCGCCTGCCACTGAGCAGGGTTTGGAGGCCACGGGAGCCCCTCTTTTACAGAAGGCCCCTGGGGTTGCACCCGCCTGGCCCTGTAGACCCCACTGCCCCCTGCTGGACAGGCCTGGGCCAGCCTCCCTAAGCCCTGGGGCGCCCTGGGGTGCCCTGGGGCACGAACCGCGCACACCGGGGGTGGAGGATGCGCCTTCCTCCTGGTCCCTCCGCGATGTTGACTGAGCAGCCCCGGCACAGCGGGGGCTGGGGTCTTTGGTGGACGGGCAGCGTTCCGGGGGGGCCCTGATGAGCTGGCCCCTCCCTGGAGGCGCTGCCAGGGCTCAGGGGCAACCTCCAAGCTCCCCCGAAGTCGGGGGTTCCTGGGGGTGTCCTCTGGGAAGCCAGGGTCCCGGAGCCCAGTGCGGAGGGGGTGCGGGAGCTCCCGGCCGGCAGAGCCTTGGGCCCCAGAGGGGTTTCCTGGAGCACGACCTGTGGGGGGGTGAGGCGAGGCGGCTGAGGCTTGGCCTCCTGACCCGCGGAGACGCCCCCGACCAGAAATAGCATGAAGGGCTCCCTCGTCACCAGCGGCTTCGGTGGCCCTCCGAGCCCTGAAGCCTCCATCCGTCCGGCTCAGCCTCAGTTCCCCCACAGTGGGATGGAGACAGCACAGGATGGGCGGGGCAGAGGGGCAGGGCACGAGCGATGTGCCCTGCGGCGTCCCTGGGCCCACAGATGGGGACACTTGTCCCAGACCGGGAGCCCCAGACCCCTGCCCCTTGCAGTGGGGGCCCCCAAGGGCTCTCAGGTCGGCAGCAAGGGAGCGATTTGGGGGCCTCACCCGGCAGCAGAGAAGATGGGACAGAGGTGTTGGGGTCATCAGTTTGGCCCTCCCACTTGCTGGGGAGTGCGGTCTCTGTAGGGAAAGGAGAGTCCCGGTGAATCCGCGGTCGGCTGACCCGGGGACCCCAGCTGGGCTGTGCGACACTGGGAACCGGGTGGTGGGATGCCCCGCCTGCCGTCACTGGCCGCCCCGGGCAAGGTGCTGGCGCGGGTGGCTCCCGGACTGAAGCCAGGGGCCCTGCCGCCAGCTGATCACACAGCGTGTCCCTGAGCCGCGGTGGGCTCTCCTGGTGGCCCCTGACGCTCAGAGGGTCCCCAAGCTCGGGGCCTCGGGCCTTTGCACCTGGACTTGCCCCGACTAGAGAGGACGCAGGGTCGGTTGGGGGGTGTCCCCAGAGCCCGTGCTGGGGCCCAGTAATGCTGAGCTGATGGGATCGGGGCTTCTTAGCAAAGGCAGCTTGAGGCCACAGACCTTTGTGAACTCGGGGTCTCACAGCCGTGCACCCTCCGCCGTCTGAGCGTCCACCCACCCCGGGAGCCTTAACAGCCTTTGTTGTCCCACAAGCCAGTCACCCTCCTGCCTCAGGGCCTTTGCCACCTGCCAGACGCTCTTCCCACAAATGTCCACGTGACACCAGCCCTCCCTTCAGACATCACCTGCCCCCCTGGGGAGGCCTCGGGACCTCAGCCCCAGCACCTTTGTCTTCCCTGTCTGGCTTTGAGTTCTGTAGCACTTAACCACCTTCCAGGGGGTTTGTCGTATCTATTAAATGTAACGTTTACTGTGGTGAGTGTCCCTTCTGCCCACCTCGCAGCAGGGTGCCCGTGGCCCAGGTCCCAGCCCACCGGTGCTGAATAAATGTTTGTTGAACGAATGCAGGGCATTGCGCCCTGGCCGAGTGTGGAGAGGGGGTGGGAGAGACTGCGGGGCTGGTGGCTGTCTGTCCAGGATGGAGCCTGTGGGACGGGGAGGAGTCGTCAGGACTTGAGGGCCGGGTCCCCAGGGCCCAGGGAGGGGCTGAGACCCCCCAGGTGACTCCCGGTCCAGGCCCGCCTCTCCCACTCCAGGCTCGGTGGGTCTGCCTCCTCCCCACTCTGTGCGGGAGCCCTGGGGCGCTGGCGGCCTGCCCAGACTGACAGGCTCCCAGGGTGAGCATAAAAGATCCCCCTTCAGCTGGAACACACATCTGCCCGGGGCGGGCTGCAGCCTGGCACTGCCAACCCTACTGCCTGCCCAGCTTCCCCTCGCTGCCTCAGGACGCGCAGCCCTGCCGCCCACCCATCTGGCTGCAGGTCTGGCCCGCGGGTGGGAGCGGCCCCTGGATGCCCGACCTGCTGGGTAGAAGCTCAGGAGACCCAGGCCTCTGTCCACCCCTGTCACCCGTGGGCACCTGCTGTGTGCAGAGACACGCTGGCGGGTGGATGCACCCGTGGGAGCAGGCATGAAGGTGGAACGTTCCTTCCCGGGTTCTCCAGGTCCCTTCTCGCTCCTGTGTCTCTGCCTGCTACTTGCCTCTTGGGACACCTCCTCCTCCCCTCTGGCTGTGCTGGGATGGGGGCCGGCGGCTAGGGACGGTCCCGGGCCTGTGCCCTCGTGTCCCCTAGCACCAGACAGCCCCCAACCTGATTCCAGCCCGGGACACGGAGCCTCAGGCGTCCTCCCAGAGCGCGGGGCCGAGTGGCCGGCCGGGCCTGAGCCGCGGGGCCAGGGCAGTGGGGCCCTCGGGTGCGAGTCCGCGGCCGCCCCGGGACCCTGGCTGGGCACGTCCCCGTTTTGAAGCCCACCAGCGCCCGGGAGATGAGCCGCCGCGGAACCTCAGGGCGCTGTTTGGGGCGGCATCAGCGCCGCTGGGGGGCGCCCCCTGTGGCCCCGGTTCCTCCCTTGCGGGCGGGGAGGGGGAGGCGGAGGGGGAGGGGGTGGCGGTGCGACCCCCGCGCACGCACGTCCCCGCGTCCGCGCCCGCCCGGGCCTTCGCGCCGCAGAGCACGGGCTCTTCTGACCCGTAAAACCCTCCTTTTATTACGGAAACTCTCGAGCCCACGGAGGAGGGAGGCCGGCGCGGCCCCGGGGACCGGCCCCAGCGCGGGGAGGCCGTGGCGGAGGCGCGGCCGAGCCCGGTGACCTTGGGCGCGTCCTTCCTCCCGCGGGCCTCAGTTTCCCTTCTGCGCCGAGGTCTGAGCGCGTCGCCCGGGCCTCCGGCCGCGCGACCTTGGGCCGTCCCCGCCTCCGCGGCCTCAGTTTCCCCGGCGCGGGGCCCGGGCGCGGCGCGCGGGGAGGGGGCTCCGGCAGAGGGGCCCGCGCCGCCCCGCCCCGCCCCGCCCCCGCGGCCCCGCCCCGCCCCCGCGGCCCCGCCCCCCGCGGCTCCGCCCCGGCCCCGGCCCCGCCTCCCCCCTCCCTCGGGCTCGGGCCGGCGGCGGCGGCGGCGGCTCCGCTCCGCACTGCCCGGCGCCGCCTCGCCATGGACGCGCGCGGGGGCGGCGGGCGGCCCGGGGACAGTCCGGGCGCGACCCCCGCGCCGGGGCCGCCGCCGCCGCCGCCGCCGCCGCCCGCGCCCCCCCAGCCGCAGCCGCCGCCGCCGCCGCCGCCCGCGCCCCCCCCGGGCCCCGGGCCCGCGCCCCCCCCGCCGCCGGCGCCCCGGGCCGAGGCGGCTCCGCCGGAGGCGACGGACGAGGGCGGCCCGCGGGCCCGGCTCCGCAGCCGCGACAGCTCGAGCGGGCGTCCGGCCACCCCGGGCGCGGCGAGCACCGCCAAGGGCAGCCCGAACGGCGAGTGCGGGCGCGGCGAGCCGCAGTGCAGCCCCGCGGGGCCGGAGGGCCCGGCGCGCGGCGCCAAGGTGTCGTTCTCCTGCCGCGGGGCCGCGGGGCCGGGGCCGGGGCCGGGGCCGGGGCCGGGGCCGGGGCCGGCGGACGAGGCGGGCAGCGAGGAGGCGGGCCCGGCGGGGGAGCCGCGCGGCAGCCAGGCCAGCTTCATGCAGCGCCAGTTCGGCGCGCTCCTGCAGCCGGGCGTCAACAAGTTCTCGCTGCGGATGTTCGGCAGCCAGAAGGCCGTGGAGCGCGAGCAGGAGCGCGTCAAGTCGGCGGGGGCCTGGATCATCCACCCGTACAGCGACTTCAGGTACCGCGCGGCCGCGGCGGCGCCGGGGCTCGGGGCTCGGGGCTCGGGGCTCGGGGCTCGGGGCTCGGGACGGACGCGCGGCGGGAGGGCGGGAGGGCGGGGCCGCGCGCCCCGGGGGTGACCTCGGGCCCCGCGCCGACCCCGGGCGCGCCCCGGACCCGCCCCGCGAGGCCCCGCCCCGGGGGGGGCGCGGGAAGCGCGCAGGCCCCGGCGAGCCCCCGGCGAGCCCCCGGCGCGCCCCCTCCCACGCGCCCCCTCCCACGCGCGCCCGCGGGCCGGGGTCTGAGCGCGGCCGGGCCGAGAGGACGAATAGAGGGGAACGTGGGCGCCGGGAGGCGGCGGAGCGGAAGGAAGGCGGACGGAAGGGCGCTCGGGAAGGACGCGTCCCGGAGAGGCCGGCGGCGCGGGGTGAAGGGCGCGGGGCCCTCGTCCAGCGGCTCCGCCCGCGCCGCGCCCCAGGGAGGCGCCTGCGGGGTCCCGGCCGGGGCCGCGGGGAGGGCGCCGGGCGCGCGGGGGTCCCCGAGCTGCCCTCCGGGGCCGCAGCGGCCGGAGCCGCGGGGCGGCGTGTCCGCGTGTCAGTGGGTGTGTAGACGTCGGTGTGGATCACGGCGGCGGATGCGTGGAAAGGCTCCGAGCCGGCCCGGCCCAGGGTCAGGCCGAGGATGTCTTTGGTTCGTGCTCCCTGGTGCGTGCCCCGTGGCCTGCGGGTGCGAAGCGTGCGTGTCACTGCGGGCCGTGTGTGTGATCACGAGCATGTGACTGCAGGGGGCGTGGGCCCGGGGCCATGGGCACAGTGACCCGGGGGCCCTAGGGGTGTGTCCGCGTGGTAGGTGTGCCGGGAGAGGGGCTGCGTGCGGGCGGCCGGGGCGAGCTGAGCTGTGTGCACAGTGCGTGCAGGGGGTGTGCAGGGGGTGTGCACAGTGTGTACAGGGGGTGTGCACAGGGTGTGTGCACGGTGTGTGCAGGGTATGTGCACGGTGTGTGCAGGGAGTGTGCAGGGGGTGTGCAGCGGGTGTGCAGGGGGTGTGCAGGGGGTGTGCAGCGGGTGTGCAGGGGTGTGCAGGGGGTGTGCACAGTGTGTACAGGGGGTGTGCAGGGTATGTGCACGGTGTGTGCAGGGGGTGTGCAGGGGGTGTGCACGGTGTGTGCAGGGTGTGCGCCGCCTGGGAAGTTTGAAGCCGCGAGGGACGCGGCCGGTTGGGCGCGGAGGGTCCAGCCGAGCGCGCGCGGCTTCAGCACCACGGACAGCGGCCCGCCGAGCCCCGCGGAGCAGGCATCCGCAGGGGGGACGGGGCTCCCCTGTCCTGGCCCCGCTTCATAGCTCAGGAAACAGGCGCCAAGGGGCGCACAGGCCCGGGACAGAGGTGGACGCCGGCTCCTCACCCTGCAGACCTGCCCTGGGAGGCGGAGGAAGCCTGCCCAGTGGCCTGAGTTCCCCGGGGAGGAAGGGGGTCCACACGGCGGGGCTGCGGGCGGGAGAGCTCGGTGTCTGCACTCGTGATCCGTGACCTGGCCGGCGGGCCGCGGAGCGACATCGGGCACACAGCGGGCAGGGGGCGGGGGCCGCAGAAAGTAGCCATTGCCCCGGGGCTTCTCCAGCACGTCCGCCTGCAGCAGCTGCCTCTCCCCCGCCGGCAGTGGGTGGCCCCGGCGTCCTGGGGCCACAGGAGGGGCAGTTGGCAGCCTGGTGACCAGCAGCTGCGAGGGCGGGCGGGAGGAGCGGGGCTTGCTGGTCCTCGTGCCCTTCTGAGCATGGTCACCTGTGAGGGTCCAGGCAGTCCACGTGGTGCGGGCTGAGCAGATAAACCGTACGACGGGGTGAGCGTGTCCTGTGGTCGGGACGAGGGGAGACGCCGTCAGACCGAACGCTTATGATACCCCCACGCTGCGATGCGGCAGGGCCTCCGGACCCTGTGTTTTGGCATCGTCAGCCCCTCCGATCCCGAACCGCAAGCCTCCTGAGGTCCTCCTGGGTCAGGTGCTGCGGGGACACCTTACTCATACGGATTCAGGTCCCATGTGGGCCGCGAGGTGGATGCGGCTGCCGGTCACAGGAAGGGAGCACGGACGTACAGCCGCTTGCCCAAAGTCACACAACTCATCAGGGGCAAACGGGGGGTTGATGCCTGGGCTGACGGCCCCCCGGTCCCGGCTCTGGCCCCAGCTCAGGCCCATGCAGGCCAGGAGGACCCGGGAGGAGAAAGGTCTTCTGGGGGTTGTGGAGATCGGGGGCACCCGGGCCTGGGCTGCAGGCGTGAGCGTTTGAAAGCGGTTGGCGGAGTGCCGGGCAGGGGCCCCTCTGGGCCCCGTTTCCACACTTGCCTCTTTCACATCTGACCCGGTTGCACAGATGCCATCCTCTCTGGCGCCTGCACCCTCACACTGTGCAGGATTGAAGGCAAAAGAGATTTTGGAGGGCGGCCCCAGGCTCCCTGCCCAAGGCCACGGGGTCGCCACTTCCTCGAGCTCTGACTTTGCTGCTTGTCTGGGAAGCTGTCCCCACGCCGCCCGGCCTGGCACACACCTGGCATCGAGAGCGGGGCAGTTAGTGTCTGGTGACCTGGAGCCACCCTGGCTGTGCCTCGTGTGCCCCGGGCCGTGGCTGCCCTGAGTGGACTCGCAGGAGTGGGTGGAGGGAAGTGTCGGGGCACAGAGCACGCCCCGGGGAAAGGCCCGATGTGCAGGGTGTTGGGGGCAGTCGCCAGCCCCCCTGCCCTGTGCTGCCGGTGGCTGGGCCTCCCTGCCTTGGTTTCCCCTAACTGTGAGGGGCTGGGCTGTGAGGACTACCCCAGCCATGCCGTCTGGTTCTCTGGGGATGCGGGGAGTTAATTCCTGTTCCCTTCCCCTGGACCAGCACCAACCTAGGGAGAAATGGTGGGCATGCGTGGGGCCTGCGGGGACCTGCTGGGTCCACCCGTCCTACTCTCTGCCACTTGACGCCGCCTCCCAGACGGTGACACATGCAGCCCTGGGGCTGTGGGGCCGGAGGGCCTGGCGGCACAGTCCTCACCGCCCCGGGAGAGCTTGGGCGATGCTGCCCCGGGAGAGCTTGGGCGATGCCACCTCCCCAAGCCTATAAGTGCCTCCCAGGTCTGATCTGAGTCTCCCCTGCCGCTGTGACTTGGGTCCCGTAGTCCCTGATCCTGGGCCACCCGGAGGCCAGTGTGACGGGAAGGAGAAGAGCCAGTCCCTCTCCTGCCCCTCAGAGGCATCTAGACGAGGCCAGGACCAGTGGACGCTGACCCGGGTCTGTGTCACGCTCTCTGGGGTCCCCAAGGGGCCTGGGGGGGCGGCGTGCGGAACACGATGGCCCCGAGGTCTCCCGGCCCAGATGGCCTGGCGGAGCTGTGGGAGATCAGTGCGCCGAGCTCTCTGCAAATCCCTGCATTAGCTCGTGGGAATAAATCCTGTATTATCCGGGGACGGGGGGGCCACGGGGGCGGGGGGGTCAGGGCCGAGGCTCTCCCGCTGCAGACCCAGCTCGTGGGCACCGGGGCACCGTAGGGACAGGGAGGCCTGTCCTCCTGTCAGGGAGGGGGGGAAGGGGGCTCCTTGGGCCTGCGGAGGGCAGGGGCCGGGCGAGGGACCGGGGAGGCCGAGGCCCCCTCCTCTCTCTGGGGCCCTCCTGCCAGAGCTTGGGAGTTGGGGTCCCCGCCTTAAGCACGTCGCATGTCCAAGGCCCTGGCCTCACCGTGACGGGGACCGGGCAGGGCCAGGGCGATGCTCGGGTGGGTGCCCACTGGCCCCGTGCCTGCCCCAAACCCACGCAGTGCAGGCCATCCCGTCTCCCTCCCGCCCCCTCCCGCCCCCTCCTGACCCTCCCTTGGCCAGCGCAGGCTTCCCGAGGTGTGCATATGTCCGTCGTCCCCTCCCCGGGCACCTCCCCGGGCACCTCCCCGGGCTGCAGAGCCTGCCTCCCACCCTCACCCAAGTCCTCGCATCTGCGCTCCAGCCCCAGGCCACCCGGCCGGCCGTGACAGGGGACGTCCCACCGCAGCCGCAGGACCTTGGCCCGTGCTGCTCCTCGGCCTGGGCACGCTGTCCCCGGGCTCTCCCCAACGGCTGCTTCTCCCCCTTGCCCGCCCGCCACGCCCTCCGAGACGCCCTCCCGCTCTGGCCAGAGGGACCCTCTGGGGTGCCCCCAACCACGTGTGGAGTGCGGGTCCCGTGGGCGAGGGCGCGGGGTGGAGCTGGTCTGCACGGGCAGCGGGCATCCTCCCCTCGGGCCCGCGGGGCTCACCAGGATGGCGCAGCTTCCCGTCCTAATCCCTGACACCGCCCGGGGGCTGTACCCGCACGGGCCGCTCAGGCCCTGATCCCGGTCCCCTGCTCGCTCCTGATCCCCGACCTCGGCCCTAATCCCTTCAGATTTGCCCGATCGCTAATTCCCGCCTGTTTCCCGCGGGGTTCTCAGCGCCCGGATCCTGGGGCGCCTCCCCGCCTGCATCTGCCCCGTCCCCCCGGGTCCCACATCTGGCCTGGTCCTGTCGCTCAGCACTCAGCCTGCCTCAGTTTCTCCATCTGAGCCCCGGGCCAAGGGGTGGTGGGGCTGGGCCCCCACGGAAGGCCGGTGCCCGTGTGGCAAGTGTGGGTGATGGGGGGCCGGGGCCCCGAGCCCTGACCTCCCCAGTGGACAGGCCGCTGCCCTCCCGGGGGCGGGGCGCAGTACACAGCACTGGGGACCTGGGGTTCCTCGGGGTGGGGGCCCCACTGGGGCGATTTAAACTACGGGATTTAATTATAGTCCTTGAAGGCGCAGCCCCGGGCCCTGCTGGCTGCCCCTGCACACCCCGCGCCCCTCCTGGGGGGGCCAATGTGGGAGGGAGGACGGCAGGGAGTCCCAGGCCGCACAGCCCAGGAGCGGGGTCGGGGTTGGGGTCTGGCTGAGGAGACCTGTACTCCCTGTCCCCCAGCTGGGTCCTTTGTGCCAGACCTTTGGTTCCCCTCGGTAGGTGCAGTGTCTGTCGGGGGGGGACCAGAGGGCGTGAGAGGGCAAGGGTCACGGCTCTGGGCACATACGGGGCATCCTGCTTAGAGCAGTGGGTCACCCTAGTGATGGCCCGGAGCTGCCACAGAGTCCTCTTCCCTCCCAGCCCCGCTCTGCCTCTTCGTACACCCAGAGGACCCCCTGCCCCAGGAAGACAAGCGGTACCGAGGGCCAGGGCCGGGGGCCACTCCCAGGGGCCAGGGCTGTGGACGCAGCCCCAGGTCGAACGAGGGTTGACCCTGACCCTGACCCTGAGCGTAGACAGCTGCAGTGTTGACAGAGGACAAGTCCTGGGAGCGCAGGCTGGGGACTCCCTGGCTGGGCCACATCTGTGTCGGATGCCTGCCCGACCCCCCGCCCAGGAGGCCCCCACACGCCAGCCCTGCAGATTGTTTCTAGGCTCCTCCTGGGGGTTTCAAGCTCCCCTCCATGGTTTCTAGGCCCCCTGGGGGTTTCTAGCCCCCCCCATGGTTTCTAGGCCCCAGGTGGGGGGTTTCTAGCCCCCCCATGGTTTCTAGGCCCCAGGTGGGGGGTTTCTAGCCCCCCCCATGGTTTCTAGGCCCCCTGGCGGTTTCTAGCCCCCCACCCAACCCCGTTTGTAGGCCTCTGGCCTCCTCAATGACTCTTTCCTGCTTTGTCCCAGGGCAGGCCCGGTTCAGGGAGGGTGAGTGGGATCAGAAGCCTCACACCGTGGAAGCGCTGGGGGCTGGGAGTGGGGAGGGGGGCAGCAGGCAGGTGGGGCCCCTCCATCCCGGATCCCAGAGCCCGGCTGCATTCAGCCAAAGGAAGGCCTTAAATTTTGAGCAGTTACTGGATTTTGCCCTTAATACGACCCCCAGGTCGTCAGTCCCTTTCGCCCCGTCCAAGTGTCCGTCCCGCCCCGGGTACTCCCGTGGGCCCCCCTCCCCGCCCCGCCCGTGCCACCCCCCCACCCCGCTGTGGTCCTCTTGCACTGGGGAGGCTCTGCCCGCCAGCCGAGGGGCTCCCACCCCCAGCTCCTCCGTGGGCCCGGGCCGTGGACTTGCCCGCGGCCGCACCTGCCAGCAGGCGGGAGAACTGGGTGTCAGCCCGGTCTGGCTGTTGCCGCCCAAGTGTGAGCCGTTGGGTGCCTTCCAGCCTCTGGCTCTCGAAGACTGAGCTGCTGTGAACATCTTGGTACAAATTGGTTTTTAATTTTTTTCTCTTCCTCTTGGACAGCTTCCTTGGGATCGCTTCCCCGAAGTGGAAGCCCGGGTCGCCCCGCGGGCGGTGTTAGCGCCCCTCCTTGCAGCGCTGGCCAGAGGGCGCCTACTTCCGTGACTCCCAGAACCGGAGCTCACTGGGGCCAGGCCAGGCTGCATCTTATGGCTTTTTATTTCTTTGGGCTCATGTCGGCGAAACCCAGCCCTGGGCCTGGGCCCGCGCTTCCATCCGTGCGGGAGGAGGAGCCAGGGAGCCGGGCCCGTCCTGCCCAAGCAGGATTGAGCCTCCTCTAAGTGCTCGTGGGCCCCGGGCCGCGACGGGGAGAGCCCCGCACGCACCTGCCTGGCGGGGGAACACCTGGACAGCTAGCGGGCTCACCCGGGGGTCACTCCCTGCGGCGTCACGGGAGAACTAAAATACACGATCAGAATTTGAGACCCTCCTTTACCTGAACCTAGACGGGCTGTGTGGGCTCCGGCCCCAGATCTAGGGCATGTGCTCCCCTGAGACCCCCACCCCACGGTCTCAGAGTGTGGTGTCGACGCATATGTAACAGAATTTGGCATTTAATTGTTTAAAAATGTACATTAATATGGCATTAGGTACAGTGACAATGTTGTGTGATCACCACCACCACCCACGTCAGGACTTTCTCATCCTCCCAAACAAAACTCCCTGCCCCCCAAAAAAAAAAAAACAAAAAACTCCCTGCCCCCCATGTCCTCCCCCCCGGGCCCCCCCAGCCCCCTCCCCGTGCGTGGGCGAGCCCCACGGGGCCTCCTGTGTCCGGCTCCCTCCCTGAGCGTCGTGGGCCGGGGTTTGTCCCCGGGGCGGGTGAGGGGGCCCGGAAGCTTCCACCGTTGTCTGTTGTGAACCATGGTCCTGGGAATGTCCTGTGAGGTCATCTGTTTGAGTTCTTGGGGTTCACACCTAGCGGTGGAATTGTTGCGTCAGACGGAAATTCTGTTTACTTTTTTAAAAAGGATTTTATGTATTTATCTGAGACAGAGCGAGCGCGTGGGAGGCAGGGAGGGGCGGAGGGAGAAGTGGGCTCCCCGCGGCGAGCAGGACTGGACCCCCGGACCCGGGATCAGGACCTGAGCCGAAGGCTTCACCGACGGAGCCCCCCAGATGCCCCCTGGGCTACAGTCTTGGGGAGCCAACGGCACGGTGGTCCCAGGGTGCTTGTGATGCACGTCCCCGACGGCCCGACCGTCCTCACGCTGTATTCACAGCTCGATGCACAGCCTGGGCCTTTCCCGGGGACCTCCCCGGGGGCCGCTGAATGCACCTGGGGGCTTGCATCTGCCCCGGGGTCCTGGCAGTGGGATCAACCAGTCCCCACATCCTCAGGAGCATTTGCCGCCCTCCGGCCTCTCGGCTCCTCCCGCCATCCGCCCCCCTGCAGGCCTCGGTCCCTTCCTCGGTCCCTTCCTCGCTGCCTCTGCCCCCCGGGGCACCCGTACCCCGTCTGCGGGAGCCCAGCTGCTCCGGACACTGGGGTGCTGCCCCCAGCCCGCCCTCCCCTCCTCCCTCCTCCTTGCTGGTCTCCCCTCTCCTTTCTCACCCAGACTGGTTTCCTGGACGCTCACCCTGCGTCTCACATTTGGACCTCTGGGGTCATGGGGCACACTTAGCCAGTCTGGGGCCACCTCTTGGGCTCTGTCGGGCCTCCTGCTTCTTCCAGGAGGGCAGGTTGGAGGGACCCAGGCTTGGGGGCGAGCCCAGCGGGCAGTGGCTTGCTGGCTAGGCGTGGGAGGGCTTCCCGGAGGCGGGGTACACAGTACCTGGGAGTCAAGACCAAAGTCCTGGCTCCACGGGAGGATGCGAGATCCGGGCCGGTCCTCGGTGGGGACGTCAGGGCCCGCAGGGCACGTGCGGGCGGAGGCCGGGGTGACAGCGGTGCCTCGCCCCCAGGTTCTACTGGGACTTCACCATGCTGCTCTTCATGGTGGGAAATCTCATCATCATCCCCGTGGGCATCACCTTCTTCAAAGACGAGACCACGGCCCCGTGGATCGTGTTCAACGTGGTCTCGGACACGTTCTTCCTCATGGACCTGGTGCTGAACTTCCGCACGGGCATCGTGATTGAGGACAACACGGAGATCATCCTGGACCCCGAGAAGATCAAGAAGAAGTACCTGCGCACGTGGTTCGTGGTGGACTTCGTGTCCTCCATCCCCGTGGACTACATCTTCCTCATCGTGGAGAAGGGCATCGACTCCGAGGTCTACAAGACGGCGCGTGCGCTGCGCATCGTGCGCTTCACCAAGATCCTCAGCCTCCTGCGGCTGCTGCGCCTTTCGCGCCTCATCCGCTACATCCACCAGTGGGAGGAGGTGAGCCCACGCGGGTGGCGTGGGGGGGCGGGTGGGGGCGGGCAGGTGGGGGGGCAGGGGGCGCTGGGTGTGGGCGGGCGGGGGGGTGGAGGGTGTCAGGTGTGGGCAGGGGGCTGGGGGCTCTGGGTGCGAGCAGGTGGGGCGGGTGCCTGGTGTGGGTGGGCGTGGGTGGAGGTGTCAGGTGTGGGTGGGGGGCGCCGGGTGCAGGCAGGTCAGAGGAGGGCACCTGGTGTGGGTGGGCAGGGAGAGGAGGGTGTCAGGTACGGGCAGGGGGCGCCGGGTGCGGGCAGGTGGGGGGAGCAGGGAGCTCTGGGTGCAGGCAGGTGGGGGGGCGGAGGGTGTCAGCTGCGGGGGGGCCTCCGGGTGCGAGCAGGTGGGGGGCGGGGGCCGCCGGGGGTGCTGTAAGGGCCTGGGTGGAGCCACAGTGCAGGGAAGTCGTGGGGGTCCCGGGCGGCCCGGTGAGCACGGACCAGCGCAGGCGCCCTCCCTTCCCGGGCGCTGTAAGAGGAGGAGCCCACAGCCCCCTCGGCAGGAGCCCAGCGGCTCAGAGGGGCCAGATCACGGGAGATCACGCCTGCCCCCTCCCGCTGCCCCAAGTCGGGCCTCTTCTGGGCCCGGGGTCACCGACCCCTGCTCCCACGCCCTCCCCCCTCCCCCCCCCCCCTCCCCCTCTCTGGCGATGTCCCCTCCCCCTTCCCCGCCGCCACCAGGCTTGAAGGGGACTGTCTGGGGGCTTTGGAGACGAGGCCACGGGCGGGGCCACACGCGGTCGCCTGGGGCACTGTGGAGGGGAGGCAGGGGGACCCTCAGGCGGGACCCTGACCCGTGCGCCCCGCAGATCTTCCACATGACCTACGACCTGGCGAGCGCGGTCATGCGCATCTGCAACCTCATCAGCATGATGCTGCTGCTGTGCCACTGGGACGGCTGCCTGCAGTTCCTGGTGCCCATGCTGCAGGACTTCCCGCGCAACTGCTGGGTCTCCATCAACGGCATGGTGGTGAGCGGCGGGGCTCGGCCGGGCGCTGGGGGGCTCCCCTGGCTTCCCTCGGGCTTGCGGCCCCTGAGGCCCGACCACCCAGGCGGCTCCCAGACCCCGCGAGCGGCACAATGACCTCGTCTGTCACCAGAGATGATGTCATCGGCTCGCAGTTTTCTTCCGACTGATTCTATTCTCGGTGACACACATGTACTTAAAAGGCAGCTTTATTTATCGGGACCCTGAAAGGGGAAGGCAGGGTCACGGGCCGTAAGAACAGAAAGCACAGTGGGGGAGCCCAAGCACCTGCTGGTGCCCGGCTGACACCCCGACTGTGTACAGGGCGCCCCGGGTGCCAGACAGCAGCCTAGGGTGATGAGCCTGCCCGGGGGCCGAGAGCGCCCTCCCCCCGCCCCCCATGGCCTTGACCGACCCCCCAGGGGCCATGAGCCCCCCTGCCCCCCATGGCCTTGACTGACCACCCGGGGCCCCGAGCCCCCCCGCCCCCCATGGCCTTGACTGACTCCCCAGGGCCGCGAGCCCCCCCGCCCCCCATGGCCTTGACCGACCCCCCAGGGCCCCGAGCCCCCCCGCCCCCCATGGCCTTGACCACCCGGGGCCATGAGCACCCCCTGCCTCCCATGGCCTTGACTGACTCCCCGGGTCCGCAAGCCCCCCCGCCCCCCATGGCCTTGACCGACCCCCCAGGGCCCCGAGCCCCCCCTGCCCCCCATGGCCTTGACCAACCCCCCAGGGGCCATGAGGCCCCCTGTCCCCCATGGCCTTGACTGACCACCCGGGGCCACGAGCTCCCCCTGCCCCCCATGGCCTTGACCGAGCGCCCGGGGCCGCGAGCGCCCTCCCACCGCCCCCCATGGCCTTGCAGAACCACTCCTGGAGTGAGCTGTACTCCTTCGCGCTCTTCAAGGCCATGAGCCACATGCTGTGCATCGGCTACGGGCGGCAGGCCCCGGAGAGCATGACGGACATCTGGCTGACGATGCTGAGCATGATCGTGGGCGCCACCTGCTATGCCATGTTCATTGGCCACGCCACTGCCCTCATCCAGTCCCTGGACTCCTCGCGGCGCCAGTACCAGGAGAAGGTCTGAGGGGGACGGCACCCTCTGGAGGTCTGGGGGCCCCTGCACCGTCCCCCGGCCTCCTGTGCTGTGCTTGGGGGGGCCGGCAGGGTCGGGGGGGCGCTGGGCACCTGGAGGGCCGGTGCTGTGATGAGCAGGAGCTGGAAGGGCCCCGAGGCGGTGACGGAGGGAGCGGAGTCTGGGGCCTGGGGGGGACGCAAGCCGAGCAGTGGGAGCCGGGGGTCCAAACGCGCTGGGGGGGGGGCTGTCTCAGAGGCGGGCTCACCCCAGGATCTCCGGACCAGCTTGGGAAGGGCTGGGGCAGGAGACACGTGGGGCAGAGTCTGCGAGCCCTGGGGTCGTGCGAGGACACACGCCGCCGCCCTCAGACGAGGTCTCTGGGGCCCTGGGCGGGGGCAGGGTCTGCAGGGCCAGGCCTGGGCCCGGGTGGGCGGCGGCCAAGCTGCCTCCTGGACTCCGCCCATGCCCGGCTCTGCTCCCTAGTGGCGGTTCCTGGCTGCTCAGCTTGAGCCCCCCCCCCCCCGCCCCCCCACCCCCCGCAGTGCCAGCCGGGTCAGCCGGGTCAGCTGGGCCTGGAGCCAGAGCCCCCGGCTGTCCGGAAGCCACGGGCCTCACACCCAAACATGAGCTGGTGCTGCCACCCGCCCGGCGTCACGGGTTCCGCTGAGCTCAGGGCAGCTGTGTGCGGGCGGAGCCCGGGGGGAAACGGGCTGGGAGACCCCTGGGGGCACCGTCCTGGGGACAGCAGGGCCTGGCACCCCCACCTGCTGCCCACACCCCCGCCCTGCCCAGGAGGGGCTGAGCCAGTTTCTGGAAAGATCTCTGGGGAGGGGAGCCAGAGCCAGCGGCAGGGCTGGGAGCCTCTGGGACAGGGTCTGGGATCTGGGGCCTGAGCCTCTGGGACAGGGTCTGGGATCTGGGGCCTGAGCCTCTGGGACAGGGTCTGGGATCTGGGGCCTGAGCCTCCGGGACAGGGTCTGGGATCTGGGGCCTGGGGGGTCCATCCACCTCTGATAAGGGCCCGCAGTCCCGCCGTCCAGCCGTTTCCCGGGAGGCAGGGAAATCCTGCCCTCGTATACGCTGCCCCCAAATGCCGCCCAGAAGCTCCTAACGCGTCTTGCTGTTCACCCGCAACTCAGAGTGAACGGGGCACCCCGAGTCTGTTGTCGTGGTCGCCGCTGACCCGGGCCCCCGCCCCGTTGTGCAGTACAAGCAGGTGGAGCAGTACATGTCCTTCCACAAGCTGCCCGCCGACTTCCGCCAGAAGATCCACGACTACTACGAGCACCGCTACCAGGGCAAGATGTTCGACGAGGACAGCATCCTGGGCGAGCTCAACGGGCCGCTGCGGGAGGTGAGGCGGGGCGGGGGAGGGCGGGGGAGGGCGGGCCCGGGGTCACCCCCGACCCAGCGCCGCCCCTCGCGGCCTCAGGGACCCCGGCCCGCCGAGCCCACCCACCCGGCCGCTGACAGCAGCAGGGACGACGTACGTGGCCTGCGTGTTCTGGGCCTGAGACCGGAGACCCCGGCGTGGCCGGCAGGCCCTGCGGCTGCCTCCCCGACCCCAACCCCGCCTCGGGCCCGAGTGCCGCGTCCCCCTCCCCCCCCCACGTGTAAGGGCACCTGTCACCAGCTCCGGGGCCTCCGCAGCCCAGGACCACACCTGCGAGACCCTGTTTCCGAGTCAGGTCCTGTTCACGGGCACCTGCGGTCGGGACTTGAACACAGGATTCGGGGGACATGGCTGAGCCCGCAGCCCTCAGCCGGCCGTTCTCGGGCACCTGCTGTGAGGCCCGCCCTGCACCCTCCGGGAGGCCGGGGAGCCTGCAGGCCCCCGGGTGGAGGGCACAGCCCCGGGGAGGGAACCAAGGGCCAGGGGGAGGGGGAGGGAGGCGGGGGGGGATTCCTTCGGGGGGTGGGGACCATTGCCCACAGGAGGCGGGCACTCACCAAAAACCTTTAATTGTACTGGATCATTCATTCATTCATTCATTCATAGACACAGACCCCACAGATCAGAAAAGGCACACGGCCCAGTAGTTTGTGGGGCTTTTCGAAATATTTGTGTATTTAAAATCATCTCCACACCCCGCGTGGGGCTCGAACTCACGACCCTGAGATCAAGAGCCACAGGCTCTGCGCACGGAGCTGCCCAGTGCCCCCGACCAGCGGCACAGCCACTACCACCGGCCACAGCCCTGGGTCCCCGGAGGGCATCCCCCGTGACCTGTTCTGTCCCCAAACAGAGGTGCGCGGCCTCTCCCAGCCCCCATGCTGGACGCTGCCCGCCGGGGGCCCCGCAGATTGAGGCCCCGGGCCCTGCCCTCCTTCCCTGAGCTCTGCGGGCACCTCCGCCATCAGCGGGGTGAGGGCCGAGGGTAGGGTCCGGGCCCTCTGGGAGCGAGCACGAGGGATACGCACCCCAAAGCCCAGGTGAGAGGAGCCTGTGGGGAGGCCTCAGCTGCGTTTCTCTTCTTCTGAGCGACGCTGAGCATCTTCCCACGTGACGATGGGCTGTTTCACTTGTGTTTCTCCGAGAACCGGCCACAACTGTCGCTGCTCTTTTGTCCTTTATGTTTGGGGGACTTTGTGTGACACAAACTTCCACCCCAATGGCTGTTTGTCCTTTAACTTTGCTTATTGTGGGTTTTTTTTTTTTTTTTTTTTTTTTGCCATATGTGATTTTCATGCTGCACGAGCGCTTGCTGTATGCAGCAGGTAGTAAATACGTGCTTGCTGTGCCGAGTGGGTGTTCCGTGTTCCACACCTACTCTCTGTATACAGCAGGTGCCCCGTATGCTTTCTCTACATAGCAGGTGCTCAGTACCTACTCTCTGTATACAGCAGGCACTCCGTACACACGTGCTGTAGGAGGCCCCCATACCTGCCTGCTGTATACAGCAGGTGCACAGAGCAGACTTTTCTGGTTTGGTTTCCCACGTGTGGGTCCCCTTGGAACGAGCCTGAGAGGCCGTGTGGGGAAGCGATCCGGGTCCGTCTCCCGCTACCCGGCGGCCGCGGCTGGTTTCGCCGGGTGGCTTGTGGGGCGCCCCCAGCAGCCGCCGTGCACGGGCGTCCCTGGGCTTGCACCCGGCCCCCCATGCCCACACCCGCGGAGGCCGTGGAGGCCGTGGGGCGGGCTCGTGGTGTGGGGCCGGCCCCCCTCCGCTCTCCTCCCGGACTAGCAGGCTTTCCTGCTGTTCTTGCTGAACGACGTTGCCGGCCTTCAGCAGCTCAAAAGCAAACCCGATGGCACGTCCTCTGCGATCCCGCGACACGTGTGACTGAACGGGGACAGCGGACGTCTTCCGTCGTTGTGGCGGCGAGGTGTTCCGGCGTCCGGCCGTGCCGCGGGGGGTGGCTCTGCATCCTCCCCAGACAGGCGCCGGCGCTTCTCGAGCCCGGGCCGGCAGCCTTTCCTGGCCGTCCGCCGGCGCAGGTGGGGTCTCTCCAAGCCGCGACCTCTTCCGTGGGGTCTTGTCTGTGCAGAAAGGCTGCTGGGTTTCTTTCCAAGGCTAAGCTCCCCCTTTGTTGCAGTGTCGTACTGCAGGCTGCGCTGGGGGGGGGTGAGCGCGACACCCTCACGCGGCCACCGCACAGTCGAGCCTGGGACGTTTCCACGCTCACCCTGAGGAGTCCTTTACAGGCCCTGGGTCCTGATGCCGCCTTTTTCATCTTCGCGCTGGCCGTCTCGACTTGACTCCTCTTACTGTTTTATTTCATTTATTTATTTTTTAAAAATTTTATTTATTTATTCACGACAGAGAGAGAGAGAGAGAGAGAGAGAGGCAGAGACACAGGCAGAGCGAGAAGCAGGCTCCATGCAGGGAGCCCGATGTGGGACTCGATCCTGGGACTCCAGGATCACGCCCCGGGCTGCAGGCGGCACCAAACCGCTGGGCCACTGGGCTGCCCTCCTCTTCCTCTTTCAGTTTCCGTGGGTTCTTTTGGGTTTCCCAGATCACCGTGTTAAAAGAACAGTCGTAAAGAGCTTTAGTGTCACTTTGTCCTTCCCGGTTCTCGTGCCTCTGATGGCCTTTTCCTGCCTGACTGCACAGGCCGGCGTTGCTCACACACACACACCTTTTCTTGCTCCTGTCTTTGGCGGTAAAAGCTCGGGCTCCGCCCCGTAAGATGCCGCCTCTCAGGCTCAAGTGCCAAGCTCCGTTGGTAGATGAAGAAACTGCGGGATCTGAGGGAGGAGATGGGCCCAAGGTGAGGGCCCGATGGACACAGGACGGTGCCCTGCGTCACCCCTGCTTCCTGCCCCTGCAGGAGATCGTCAACTTCAACTGCCGGAAGCTGGTGGCCTCGATGCCGCTGTTTGCCAACGCGGACCCCAACTTTGTCACAGCCATGCTGACCAAACTCAAATTCGAGGTCTTCCAGCCGGGCGACTACATCATCCGCGAGGGCACCATCGGCAAGAAGATGTATTTCATCCAGCACGGCGTGGTCAGCGTGCTCACCAAAGGCAACAAGGAGATGAAGCTGTCCGACGGCTCGTATTTTGGGGGTGAGCGCCTGTGGGGACGGGGGTGGGTGCAGGGCAGGCGGAGGCCAGGAGGCTGGAGCGCACGCCTAGTCGGTGGGAGGCCCGGGCGGGTGGGGCGGGTGGGGCGGGTGGGTGTAGCCGGCGGCTAGGACCTGGCGGGCTGAGGCCGGCGCCCTTGGCCACACGCAGAGATCTGCCTGCTGACGCGGGGCCGGCGCACGGCCAGCGTGCGCGCGGACACCTACTGCCGCCTCTACTCCCTGAGCGTGGACAACTTCAACGAGGTGCTGGAGGAGTATCCCATGATGCGGCGGGCCTTCGAAACTGTCGCCATCGACCGCCTGGACCGCATTGGTGAGTAGGCCGGTCTCGGGGGGCATCAACCCGAGATGAGGCGGTGCGGCCCAGCCGGGCCTCCGGGCCCCCACGAGTCCCCAGACCAGGCTCTGACCTGCTCTGTCCCTTGGCCAAACGTGGCCCTGGTTTCCTGAGGAAGAGGAAGCGTGGGGAGTTCCCAGTTGTGCAGAGCTTCTGCTCACGTGGCAGATGTTTGCTGAGCACCTGAGTGCCAGGAGGTGTGGGTGGTGGGCCAAGAGGCTGTGTCGCAGGCCCCCCGCAGGCTGATGTCAGAGGAGGGGGCGTGGGGGTGGCGGGAATGCCTTGTGAGGCTGGGTGGAGGCCAGGATGAGTAGCCGTTGCCAGGCAGACAGGGACACGGCATGTGCAAAGGCCTGGAGTCCAGGCAGCTGGAGAAGGGGGCGGGGGGAGGCAGGGAGCAGGTGCACGGGGCCGAGTAGGCCGGGGAGGACCTGATGGGACTGGCGTGGGACAGGTGAGTAGTACACAGGAGGGAGACGGGGCCTGGCTGTGAGCGAGGTGGCCTTGGCTGCAGGGAGAGGCAGGGGGTGACGTGAGAGCCCTCAGGGCTTGCTGACGACTAGCTACGGGAGTCGGGCCGACCGTGGCCCTCGCTGCTATTTGGGGGAAAAAAGACAACAGGAAAAGCAGGCCTGGGCGGAGTGCAGAGGTGTTAGAGCAAAGGCTTCCCGGTATACAGAAGGCATTCAATTCACGTTTATATACAACAGGCACTCAACCATTTGCTCTTACAGTAGGTGCTCAACATATTTGGGAGGTGCTTAGATATGTTTGCTGTATACAGAAGGCTGTCCACACATGCTTGCTATGTATGTGGCGGGCACTGAGCGCTCTGGCTGTGTACAGGCAAGTGTTCTCCGTGTGTTGCTGTACACTGCAGGTGCTCAATACATGGATTACTGTACACAGCAGGTACAGTGCACGCTTGCTTTAGCATGATACCCGCTTCGTGTATACAGCAGGCACCTCATGTGCTTGCTGTATACTGTGGGAGCGCAATACATGTTTACTGTATACAAAAAACCGTGCTTGTGTCCCAAGCACGCTGGCAGTATACAGTAGGTGTCTCATGCCAGCTTTGCCTACGCAGTAGGTGCTCAATGTGCTTCCTACTCACAAGTCCTCGGTTAATGCTTGTTGTATACAGCAGGTACTTGATACCTGCTTGCTATACAGGGTGGCAGGTTGTGCGTACTTACAGCATACAGTAGGTGCTCAGCTCTGCTTGCTATCCATGGCAGACAGGTGGTATCTGCTGTGGTCAGGGGCTCCGTGCATGGGGAGTGCTGTGTGTGCCGCGGCGCAGACGGAGCGCCCGACACCTGCTTGCTGTGCGCGCGTGCGCTGTCCACGAGCTTGCTGTACACAGCGGGCGCTCCGTGCATGCTTGTCGACAGCAGGTGCGCGTCTGGCGCCAGCAGGTGCGTGGTGCTGCCTCGGCGCAGGGGGCACTGTGCGTGCGGCCGTGCCTCGCCGGTGCTGCCGGGTGCGCTGGGCCCGGCGCGCGGCCCTAGGCCCCCGGATGCCGCGCCCGCTGGGTGCGTGCAGGAGGCGCCGCATGCATGCCGCTGCCGGGGGAGCCCTCCCCGCGCCCCCCGCCCGCCCGCGCTGACGCCCCCGCCCCGCCCCCAGGCAAGAAGAACTCGATTCTGCTGCACAAGGTGCAGCACGACCTGAACTCGGGCGTGTTCAACAACCAGGAGAACGCGATCATCCAGGAGATCGTCAAGTACGACCGCGAGATGGTGCAGCAGGCAGAGCTGGGCCAGCGCGCAGGCCTCTTCCCGCCGCCGCCGCCGCCGCAGGTCACCTCGGCCATCGCCACGCTGCAGCAGGCCGTGGCCATGAGCTTCTGCCCGCAGGTGGCGCGGCCGCTCGTGGGGCCGCTGGCGCTCGGCTCGCCGCGCCTCGTGCGCCGCCCGCCCCCGGGGCCCGCGCCCGCCGCCGCCTCGCCGGGGCCCGTGCCCGCCGCCGCCGCCAGCCCCCCGGGCGCGCCCGCCAGCCCCCGGGCGCCGCGGACCTCGCCCTCGCCCTACGGCGGCGCGCCCGGCTCCCCCGCCGCCCCCCGCGCCGGGCCCGCGCTGCCCGCCCGCCGCCTGAGCCGCGCCTCGCGCCCGCTGTCGGCCTCGCAGCCCTCGCTGCCCCACGGCGCGCCCGCGCCCGGCCCCGCGGCCTCCGCGCGCCCCGCCAGCAGCTCCACGCCGCGCCTGGGGCCCGCGCCCGCCGCCAGGGCCGGCCCGCGCAGCCCGGACCGCAGGGACTCGGCCTCGCCCGCCGCCCCCCCCAGCCCCTGGCGGCCTCGACCCACTGGACTCCGCGCGCTCGCGCCTCTCGTCCAACTTGTGACCTTCGCGCGCCGCCCCGCGGGCCCGGGCGGGCCGGGGGCGGGCCGTCACCCACACCAAAGCCATGGCATCGCGCTGCCCGGCCGCCCGCCCCAGAAGCCATAGAGGAGCCCAGGCAGTAGTAGTCGGCGGGCGGGCGGGGCACCCCCACCCCCGCGAGCCCCAGCCCTGCGCCCCCCACCTCGTCCTCGCCCCCCTCCTGGCGGCCTCGCCTGCGTGTGCGAGCGCGGGGGCTGCCTTCACCGCGGTGCCTCAGTTCCCCCAACTGTGAAAGGGGACGGGGCGGCCGCGGCCGGAGGAGGAGGCTGTGGAACCCGCCGCCCGCCCCGTAGGTGGCCCGCCCGCCCCCGGAGGATTCTGTTTTTTAAGTGCAATACTCGGCCGCTGGCTTCCTGCTGCCCCCATCGCTCACGCAATAACCGGCCCGGCCCGTCCGCGCGCGTCCGTGCTGACCTCCCCGGGGCGGGCACACCCAGCCCCTCCGAGCCCGGCGTCCAGGGCCCGGCAGGCCCCGTGGCGCCGGAGCGCGGGGCGAGGCCAGGCCACCGTCGAGATGAATGTACTGACGAGCCGAGGCAGCAGCGCCCGCCGCGCCCCACGCCCCTAACCCCACGCCCCCATTCCACGCAATAAACGACAGCATTGGCGTCCAGCCTGCCGGCCTCTGATTCTCGGCGCCGTCCGGGCGCGCAGGTGCCCCAAGAGCGACGGAAGACACTCGGTCCCACGGGTGGCAACAGAGCTTTATTTACACTATGGTACAGGGCGGGCTCCCGCGCGGCGTCTGCCTGGGGACCCGCCTGGGACCTGGCTGGGGACCGCCGCGGGCTGCGTCAGCTGAAGAAGTAAGTGGAGTGCTTCACCTGCTCCAGGTCGAAGGCCCCTGCGGAGCAGAGCGCACACCGGGCGTCGCGGGAGGCCGTGGGCAGGGGCACCCCAGCGTGCACTCCCGGGCCCCGCTCACCTGTGTCCGGCACCGCCTTCAGCGTGTCCTGCAGCTTGCCAATCCACGAGTTCTTAGGGTGCTTCAGGGACCTGGAGCAAGGCCGGGCGGGCGTGAGGCCCAGGGGGCGGGTGGGGCGGGTGGGGGCCGGGGCAGGGTCGGGGCCGGGGGTACTTCACCTGGAGCTGCAGCAGAATCGCTTCACCAGGAACCTGGACAGGTTGTGCAGGATGGGCTGGCTGTGCAGGTGGACAAACTGCTCGCGGCACACCTGGGGGAGGGGACGGTGGGACTGGGCCTGGGCCTCCGAGGTCAGGTGGGGTCACGCCCCCTGCCCAGCCCCGCCGTGGTGGCGGGATGGAGGCCGACAGGTGCCTGCGGCCGCTGGGGCTCACCTGGTTCATGACGGCCACGTCAGCCGCGTGGGTCCAGAAGCAGTCGTGCACGGACACGAAGGTCAGGCCCTTCCTACGGCAGCGTCAGGGTCTCCTGTGAGGGGAGGGCCGCCCCCCCCGCCCCCCCCCCCGTGTCCTCGCTGCTCTCGGGCTCACCGCGTAGGTGCAAAGTTCCCTTAGGAAGAACACTGGGGCCGTGCGTTGCCCCCACCCCTGCTGCCACGGGCACCCCCCCCCCCAGGGCCCTGGGCACCCACAGGGAACTGACAGACAGATGCGACCCCAAACCCCAGGTCTCTCTACTGCCCCGCTGGCTGCCCCCGAGGGGCTCAGGACAAACCCCGATGCCTATGCCTCCCCTCACAAGGGCGCCCCCCAGTTGTCAGAGCTGTCCACAGGCAGCACTCACCTGGGTGGGACCTAGAAACGGGTCACTGAGAGCAGCCGCGCCCTCCCTCCAGGCCCAGCCCACTCCCCCAACCCCCCCCCCCCGTCACACCTCACCGCCGCAGGGCCTTTGCACAGGCTCACACAACCCCTTTCTGGGCACCAGGTCCAACACCGCACACGGTTAGGGTCCTGACCCTGTCCGACCTGGCCTCACAACCTCCCCTCGTCACTCCACGGGCCCCCACTGTGTCCCCAACACCCAGACCAGGGCCCGCACGCAGCAGCTGACGAACAGGTGTGGGGGGCACACGGCCTGCGAGGCCGCCAGACTCAGGGCCCACCTGTAGCAGTGCAGGGCTGTGAGCATCATGTGCGAGGAGTCCAGCGAGTGGATGAAGTTCGGGGGGAAGCCGTTCTTCTGCTTCAGCGTGTTAGGCTTCCTGGGGACACAGGACGCTCAGGCGCCTGGGGGGCCGACCAGGGGCAGTCCCTCGGCCAGGCTCGCCGCCCCCCTGGCTGGCAACCCCCCCCGGGCACCCCCCAGCACTCACTGGGTCGTGTCCCCACTATTGCTGAACGTGAGGCTCTGGATGCCACCACCGATCTGCAGGGTCGGGAGGGGAGGGTCAGGGAGGGGAGGGTCGTGAGTCCCACCCGACGAGCACAGGGGTGGGGGGGCGGGGGTGGACGTACCATCACTTTGGAGTCCCGGTGATAGGGCTGGATGATGGGGACGCCCAGGGGTGTCACCCACTCCACGGCCGAGCCCGTCTGCGCGATGAGCCGGGCGCTCTCGGTCAGCCAGTGCTGTGGACGCAGGGCAGGGGCTCAGGGCGGGGCCCAGTCGGGTGGCCTGGTGGGCCCAGGGAGGGGACAGGGGGACACACCTGGATGGCCCGGGTACCCGAGAACATCTCCTGGAGGCTGTTGAACACCTGGCGCACCAGGTAGTGGGAAGCCTCCCACACGAACTCCTGGAGGGAGCAGGGTGGTCAGCCGGGCACTGGGGGGCAGAGCCGGGACGGCCTCCCCACCCCACCTCGGGCCACCTGCTGCCCCGCCGCCAGGGGTCGGGGGCGAGGGGCAGCGGGCGCACCTGGGGGAAGTTGCTGAGCTCCCGCAGGCGCCTCTCGATCTGCAGGCGGCCCCCGTAGCGGGTGACCCCGTACACCACGGTCATCACCGTCTGCTTGACCACCTTGCGGCTGATGAAGCCATCGAGCACCTGGGCGACCCGCACGCCCCGCTGGGCGTCCTGCCTGCGGAACACCTCGACCTGGGCGGGCGTCTGGGGTCAGCAGGCGGGTGTGCAGACCCGGCGTCTCCCTCCCGCCCGGCAGCTCCCCTGCGAGGCCCCTCTTCTTCCCAAAGGCTCCAGCTTCCCTCCTCTGACACCTCGCTCAGGGAAGCCCACCCTGACCGCCCGGCCCCATCACGGGGGGACAGAGACCACGGGCTCCGCCAACGCAGGCGGCCGGAGGACGGAGACGCCAGTGGGCTCTGCGGACGGAGGTGGGGGACGTGGCGCCCACCTGTGCAGCCACCCCGCTGTACACGTCCTGCGGAAAGTCTGAGGGCAGCAGGTTGACCGAGGCTGCGCCGATGCTGTCGCGGCCCAGGGCGGCGTAGTGCTGCAGCCCGTTACAGGAGCCGTCCTGGCCGACGGGAGAGAGGGGCCCGGGCAGGGCTGGTGACACGGACCCCGGGAACGGGCCACAGCTCCAGGGCTCCCCAGGGCGCAGCACGCACCACCCGACGCCGGACCCGGAAGCCGAGAGGCAGCACAGTGCGCCTGAATGAGGCCACGCAGCAAGGCTGGCCGGGCCCCTCACGGGGACACCAGGAGACACAAGGCGGGGTCTGCAGGAGCCACACACGCACAGCTCCTCTAGCCGAGCCCGCCGCGCCAAGCTCCCCACGCCAGGCTCCCCACGCCAGGCTCCCCACGCCAGGCTCCCCAGCCGCTCACCTGGTGAACCGGGAAATGAGACACGAAGGCCGTGGGGTCGGGGGAGCGCATGGCCCGAGCGATCTCCATGCAGCAAGCCAGGGCTTGCCAGGGCTCGTCCACCTCCATCCACCACTTCCGGCCCTGAGGGAGGGCACAGTGGGGCTCGGGCCGGCCCGGCTGGGGCCGGGGGCCTAGGACAGAGCCCCCGGGGCGGTGGGGGGTGACAGGGAGACGGGAGCAGCCCCCAGAGAGCGGCCAGGGGACGGGGAAGGGCCTGGGAAGGGGACCCAGGATGACCGAAAGGAAGGACAAGGCCAGGAGCCCAGGGCCAGCCGACGGGGGCCTGGGGAGGGGGGTTAGGGCCGCCTGCTCCAGGCACGGCTCGGGGCTGTCAGGAGGGCACAGGGCCCCGGCCGCCCCCTCCCCGCCCCTACCGTCATGGGCCGGTCGGCAGAGTCCAGGATGTCGTCCATCACCTCGTCGGCGAAGACCAGGCGTGCCTGCAGCGGCTCGTGCTTCTTGAGCCCCGTGAGGTTCACCAGGTGGATCTTGAGCCAGTCGAGGCCGTGGGGGCCGAGCGGGCGGCCCTGGGCAAACTCCAGCAGGGCGCGTGCCAGGTCACTGCCCAGGTGGTTGAAGTGCGGCGGGCAGGGGTAGGTGCGGCCGCGGAAGTCCATGTTGTGCGGCAGCCAGAAGACGCGGTGCCGCAGGTGCTGGGCCAGCGAGAGGCGGTAGAGCGCGTCGGAGCGCAGGCTGTGCATCTCCCGGGCCACCTTCAGGCAGCGGGCCAGCTCCCGCCGCACCTCGGCCTTCTGCGCGGGCGAAGCGTCGGGGGGCAGGCGGCCCTCGGGTGGCCGGGGCGCCTCAGAGGGCGGGGCCGGCACGCCCAGGCGGGGGCAGCCCTTGGCGGCGAAGAGCTCCAGGACCAGGTCCAGCACGCGGCCGTTAACGCGCCAGGCGCAGTTGCCCAGCTGCGTGAGGGCGTCCAGCGCGCCGTGCAGCTCGGCGGGTGGGCAGCTGTCCAGCAGGCGCTGGTGCTGCATGGTGCCCTCCAACGAGCGCATGAGCTTGGTGGGGCTGAGCAGGAAGGCGCCCGTGTGCGGCGACGTCCAGGGCAGCGGCGGGCACAGCATGGGCACCTCGGCCGCCTCGAAGACCAGCGTGTGCTCTGCGGCGGCGGCCAGCAGCTCTGTGAAGGCGGGGTGTGGCTTCAGGATGCCGATCTGGGGGCGAGGCAGAGGCAAACGTGGCTCCAGGGCCCGGCCGTGCCCAAGGACGCACAGCGAGAGGACACCGCCCAGCGTCCCGTCGGGCACCCCAGCCCCGAGGCCGTGATTTCAACAGGCCCCGCCGTGGCCCAGGGGTCCCCAGCCTCCTCTCCGGTCCCCGACGCACCCTGAAGCAGCCTACCTGGCGGAAGCTGCGGAAGGAGTACACGTGGTACAGCACGGGGATGAGCGTGCAGGCGCCCTGCGGGGCGGCCAGGCTGCCCGGTATCCGCACGGTCTCCACCAGCAGCTCGGCCAGCCTCTTGCCCAGCTCCACCAGCACCGGCAAGGGCCAGGGCTGCTCGTGGGGGGCCTCAGGTGGCCCCAGCGCCTCCCAGTACTGCCGGGGTAGGTGGGGCGTCGCCACCTGGGGGAGGGGGGGGGACGACAGTGGGTCAGGCCCTGGGGGGCTGGGCCCAGAGCTTACTGCCCCCGGCCACCCCCGAGGGCAAGGCGACAGCCATCCCGGCACAAAGGGGCGGGGCCCGGGGGCAGACCCAGCTGCCCCAGGGAGGGAGGGGAGCAGGGACGCCCGGGTGCCGGGCCTCACCTGGGTGTCTGAGGCCAGCAGGTGCAGGTAGCGGTAGTAGCGCTGCTGCAGAGCCTGCACCTGGCTGCTGAGCTGCTTCCTCTGCACCATGTGTCGGTTGAAGACGCGCATGCCCAGCTGCTGTGCCAGGGAGAGGAGCGACTCTCCCTGCGGGGGCAGCACCTGCAAGGTCTGGGGGGCGGCACTGTGAGCCCAAGCCCCGCCCCCTGCCCCCCACGACCCCGACGTCCCCCAGGCCCCACCTGCAGCAGCAGCTCGGCCATCTCCTTCTCAGTCAGCACGCACAGGAACGGGAAGAGCGAGGGGCGGCCGGTGCGGGCGGCGCGGGCCTCGCTGGCCTTCATGTCCTGCAGCCCCAGGCACAGCGCCTGTGCCCACTCGGCGCGCAGCTGCTTCAGGGTGTCCCGCTGCGGGGGACGGACACAGGAGTCACCACCACATGCACTCCAGGCCCCCGGGGGCAGGGACCCGAGCTCACAGGCACCCTGGAAGGGGCACCCTGAGCCCCGGGGCCAGGTGGGCACACAGCCTACCCCAGCCAGGGCCTCACCGCCTGCAGGACCTCCTTGGTCAGCACCCGGGCCTTCTCCACGGACTCCACGGGCACGGTGGTGGCCATCTCCACGCGCAGCTGCTCTTGGAAGAGGCTCTGCAGCTTCTCCAGGGGCAGGTGCAGCTTCGGGTATGACACGGGGTCGCTCTGCGGGCGCCAACAGGCAGGCGGTGAGGCCGAGAGCCGCTGCCCGCCCCGCCTTCCGTGCCCCCCACCCGCCGGCCCCAGCAGGGCCACATCTGAAAACCGCCCGTCTGTGTGGCTGCAGGGAAGCGGGGTGCGGAGCAGCACCCAGTGCTGGCCTGGCCTCCCCGGGCAGGCCGGGCAGCCTGGAGAGACAGTTCAAGTCCCCGGATGCTGGCATTTTCTTTTCAAACTCAGGACCGTGTGAACACGTGACCCACCCAACAACAGATCAATTAAAAACAGCACGACCGACAAGAGAACCCCGAAAAGGGCCTGCGGGGCGGCGTGTGCCCGCCTGGGGCTCCAGGCCACACAGGCTCAGGCCCTGGTCGCCGGCTCTGCCTGGAGCAGCACAGCCGTGCCCCTCCCGGCGTCCACAGGGTCAGGGCCCCGCTGGGCACCCGGACGCACCCAGTCTGGCTGGGCCGGCCTCTAAGGAGTGGGGAGGGCACCCCCGGGAGGCGGGGGGCTCCGAGAGGAGGACGGGGACGGGCCCAGGCCCCCAGAGACCCCACTGGGCCTGCTCACCGTGGCATAGATCTCCCGGAGCAGCGGCGAGGTGTTGACCTGGGGCGGGCACTGGGGTGGCGGCGGGGGCCTGAAGGTGGGCTGCACCTTGCGCACCGCCCTCAGAACCAGGGCCCGCTCCTCCTGGCACAGCGGCACGGAGGTGAACAGCTCCTGCAGCTTCAGCCCGTCCTGGCCCATCTGGTCCAGGCACCTGCGGGGGACCCAATGCCAGGTGGCCGCGGGGGGCGGGGGGCGGGCTCCCGGCAGGGCCAGGCTGGACGCTTCCCCCCGTCGCCGCGGGTCGGCCCTGGTGCCCACCCACCTCTGGATGGTGGTGGTGCTCTGGTCCAGGCGTCCCATGCACTGCAGGGCAGCCGCGTAGGACAACAGGTCTGGGGTGAGGCCCGCGTCTTTCACCATGAAGAACACGTACAGCAGCTCTTTGTAGGAACCCTGGGGAGACCAGGCTGGGTGAGGGCCTGGGGGGCCGGCCTGCCCCCTCGGGACCTCTCTCCACGGCCAACAAATCAGACAGGAAGACGAGCTAGCCAGACGGCGCCCCGAGCGCCCTCCGAGGGCGGCGCTGCCCGCGGGGACACAGCGGCAGGGGCGGGGGGCTGGCTTCCGAGGGGACCACGTTAACACCTTGCTCTTGTGGACGAGAACACGCATGACGTCAGCCTCGCTGCGAGAGGCTCCCCGGTGCTCCGCAGAGAACCCCGCGGCGTGTCGGTCTCTGATCCGCGGTCCCATCACGCCAGCACCTGGGCCATCCCTTCCCCCAAGACCCCTGCCTCGTGTGAGCGGCGTGCACGTCGGCAGCCGTGTTGGGGGAGCGGCCAACACCCCCGCACACACGGGGCCTAGCAGTGCCGCCCCAGGGCCTCTGGAGACCACGAAGTGCCGCGTCCCACCCCCAGTCCCGCCGCCCACATCTCGGGTGCCACCGCCAGAGACCACGGAGCCAGCAACCGGGTTCTGAGGGGCCTGTCCCGGCCACCCTGGACGGGCTGCCGAGTCACCAGCACGCACGGCCACTCCGGGGTCTCCAGCTCTGCCGGGGCCCAGGGGCCATGCGCGACTGGTGTGCACGAGGAGCGTTTACGAGGGTCGGAGTTCTACCGGGCGCCGCTGTCAATCCCACATTCACGAAGTAAGGCCACCGACACGAGAACACGCCCTTCTGAAGTTCGCGTGCCCTCTCGCCCGGGTCCTCGACACGTGTGGTCAGAGCCCTGAATCAGCTCTGTCAGTCCCCGAGAATCCAGTAGGTCCCATACTTTACAGATGGGAAACTCGGGAGGGGAGAGCGCTGCAGGCCAACGGGGGACACGCCGGGGTCTGGGGACAGCCAAGCCCATCACACACGTGGGCTGCCCAGAAACAAGGACTCACAGAGCCAATGACGGCTGTGGAGTCCGTGCGTATTGGGGGGGCTGGAGCGGGTGGACTAGTGACACCCCCAAGTTCATAACAGGGGCTCTGCTGGAAACGGGGTCTTTGTTGCTGTAACCAGTGAGGATGAGGCCATGTGCACGTGGCGAGGTGGCCGCGTGACCTCAGAGGCAGACCTGGAGGGACGTGGCCACACCTCCAGGAGTGGGAGGAGCAGGAAGGACCCTCCGCGGAGGGTGGCTCAGCGGTGGGGCGTCGGCCTTCAGCTGAGGGCGTGACCCCGGGGTCCGGGATCAAGTCCTGCATCTGGCTCCCCGCAGGGAGCCTGCTTCTCCCTGTGCCTGTGCCTCTGTCCCTCTCTCTGTCTCTCAAGAATAAATAAGTAGAACATACATATGAGAAGGAAAAAATAAGAAATCTCCAGTGCCTGGAACCACCCAGACCGTGGTCACTTGTGGCAGGGGCCGCAGGAAGCTCTCGCAGGGGCTCTTGGCAGGAACGTCCCGCTAAAACAGGGCTCCTTCCTGGGGTACCTGGACGGCTGTGACCTTGCACGGAGGGCACAACCCCTCTGTGCACCCCCAGGGACGAGTGTGGGCCAGAAACCGCCTGTGACGGCCACTCGTGGACACTGGGCATCTCCGCGGCCCATCGTGGCCCGTCAGAGTCTGATGCAGACGTAGGAGTCTCAGTAGCTCCTGGGCCTGCCGCCCGGGCCACGGGGGTGCAGTGCGGTGTCCAGGGAGCCCACCCTCCTGTGCCCGCACCCGCGTCCTCACCACTGCCTCCTTTGCGGGCCTGAGAGCGGGGCTGCAGGTGCACAGCACGGAGGAGGGATCCCCTGGACGCAACACTGTCCCGAGCACACAGGGGAGGTCAGGGGCGCTCGCAGGGACACGGCGCGCGGGAGCAGAGCCCGGAGGGAAGCGCGTGGCCACCAGCGCCCGCGTGCCCATGTGCGAGACGGAAGGAAGCGTCCTGACGGATAGACCCGCTCTGCCCTCCGGAGTCGCCGTGCGGAGGGAGGGGGGAGGCCCCCAGGGTCCGGCAGCCCTGGCGCCAGGAGGAAAACGCCAGAACCGGAGATTTCTTCCTTCTCTTGGCCGTTGGCACTTCCCCCAAGGGCCACGCCCGCTGCGCCCGAGAACTGTCAAGGTGGCCACGGCGGCCAGAGCAGCGCTCGGACGCGGGCTGCGGGGACCCAGTGGTGCCACCACGGTAGAGGGGTGGAGGGGACGGGAGCCCCGCCGACACCCCCCGGGCCCCGCTCACCTTGCGGGCCCAGCCCAGCAGGACGACGTTGTACATGGCCAGCGTGAGCTGCTGCTGCTGCCGGGCCCGGCCGTGGTGCGTGACCAGCACGTGGTGGGCGAGCGGCAGGTGGCCGGTGCGCAGGCAGCAGTCCAGGAAGGCCAGGAGCCGGTGCTGCTGGACCTCCAGGCGCGCCGAGGCGGCCCCGGCCTGGGGGGCCTGCTCGGCCTTGCGGCTCGGCTTGCGCGGGGTCTCGTGCAGCAGGCGCGCCAGCTTCTCCTCCCAGCGGCTGTGGGGCGCCCGGGGCTCCCCGAGCTCCAGGTGGCAGGCCAGCCCGGCGTCCAGCAGGCGGGGCAGCACCCGCAGGGCGCGCTCACACGCCTCCGGCTGCGCGTGCCCCTGCAGCTTCACATCCAGCTGCTGCTTGCGCTTCTGCAGCGTCCACTTCTCCTCGTCCAGTTTCTGGGCCCAGCGGCCGCTCGTCCGCCCAGCCGCGCCCTCGGCCCTGCGCTGGGCCTTCCCGGGGGCCCGCGGCCGGGCCACGCCGACCCTCTTCACCGTCACCTCGGACACGCACTCGGCCTGTAGCTGCCGCACCCGCGCCTCGAGCACTGTGGGAGCAAAGGGCAGGGGCGTCAGGGGTGTCCGCCCGAGGGGCGCGGCCCCTGCTCCTGAGGCTTCGGCTCCACGTCTCTGCTGACAACTGCCTCGGGCGCCCCGATGTTCAGGCACACGCACCCACTCAGCACCTGTCCGCCTGAGCCTCTCCAGCCCAACTCCCCAACAAGCCGCTGGCGTCCCCCCGAAGCCCACTCCTCCACGTCTCCCTCCCCGGCAGGGCCGTCCTCGCAGGTGCTCAGCCAGAAACCCAGGGTCGTCCAGGCCTCTCTCCGTCCACATCCAGCCTGTCAGCACGCCCTCGGGGGTGCGCCTCTGCCTTCAAATCCATCCAGGTGCCTGGAGCCCTCGCGGTGCACTCTGCTGCAGCCCCAATGGCCTCAGGGCCTTTGCACGTGCTGGGCCTGATGCCTACACGTGGTTGGGCAAAGGTTCCGGTGCTGGCCCTTGGCACAGCCACTGTATAGCTGGTGGGAGTCCCAAGCGCATCAACACCGGGCCTCGTTCTAGGTCTTTCTGTCGGAGACGCCTTACTTCACACATACTGTTAATTCGTGACCCCTGAAGCCACAGCCAACAGCACTGCAGCTCACTCCCGAACAAACACCTATTTTCTCCAAGAGGCACCTCACCGCCTTGCTGAGCGCAGAACACCACAAAGCGCCGCTGTGCTTAGGGGCTGCTCTGAACACCGAAATCACCAACAAAAGTGCAAAACTGCAAAAACAGGGCGCCTGGGTAGCTTAGCCCGCTGAGAGTCCGACCCTTGATTTCGGCTCAGGTGGTAACCTGAGGGTCGTGAGATCGGACCCCACGTCGGCTCCGCGCTCGGCGAGGAGTCGGCTTGAGACTCCCTCTCCCTCTGCCCCTCCCCACCGCTCTTGTGCTCTCCCTCCAAGGGACAGACCGTTTAAGTTAATACGACCTGGCAGCACTAAACGTACCTTGCGGAGGGCACCCGTCTGCAGCACGTGCGAAACGAGAGGTAACAAGAGGCCAGCGTGCGACCTGGGCCTCCCTCGGCGGGGGGCGGGCGTGTCACACCACGTGCCTCCCAAGGAACCACGAAGGCACCCCATACTGATTTCAGGGCCGTGCGTGAACTCTGCGACCGCCCTCAAGGACCCACCGTGCCTCTCCCACGGGACTGCGGCCGACCGACCGGGGAGCCGGTCTCGCTCACAGAGCAGGGGCTCAGCAAAGATTTGCCGAAGCGGAGTGGGAAGTCAGGGTGACCTTGGCCCTCCGCGCGCGCCAGACCCGGGACACGTGTGCTGAGGCCACAGGCTGGAGCAGGGCCGTGGCACAGGCCACAGGGACCTTGGTCCTGGGGGGGGGGTGCGGGGGCTGCAGACTACCAGGACTTCCAGAACCTTCCTACGGGCAAACGACATGTGGCCTAATCTTTGCTTTAAGGACCTCAGGGAGCAGGTGAGAGAGGAAAGGCCGCGGACGGGGAGGGCGTCACTCTGCTTCTGCACGTTTGGATTCTCCTGAAGCCGCGGTTCTCGTTTTAGAGGCGCCTCCACCCCGGGCCGGGTCTCGGAGGCACAGGCCCCCCCCCCCCCCGCCTCCTCTGCAGGCGCCAGGGCTGCCCGGTGCTTCCAGGGGTCCTTCCGGGTCAGGAAGACGGGAGGACGCCCCCCGCCCCGCCCCCGCCCCGCCCCCGCAGGAGCCGGCCCAGGAGCCAGCGGGGCGCGCGGTCGGGCCGGGGTTCGGGTCCCGGCGGCCCAGCCTCCCCTGCGCCATCTCGGGCCCGCCGCCCTCGAGGAGGCCCCGGGGGTCGCGCTCACCCTCCAGCAGCTCCGCGAGGCCCCAGTCCTTCCGGCGGTCCTGCTCGCGGGGGCTGGCGGACGAGCTCGCCCCGCGGCCCCCGCCGCCACGGAGGGTCCCTGTGGGCGACACGCGGAGGCTGCGGGCGCGGGTCCTCGCAGGTCAGGGGTCCGCGGCCCCACGCGGGGAAGAAGCCCGGAGGCCAAGGGTCACGGGGGCCCCGAGCTCGCGCCCCCCGAGCTGCAGGCGCGGCGCAGGGCTCAAGCGCCGCGGGCCCCGAGGGCGGGGTCGGCGGCTCCAGGCGTCAAACGGCCCCGTCGGGGGGCCCGGGGGGCGAGGCGCGCTCGGGGCGGGGGGGGGCTCCCCAGAACAGGGCCCCGGGCCCCCGGGCAGGCGTGGGCGCTGGCTCCCGGGGCCTGGGGCGAAGGCCGCGGCGTCGCGCTCGGGGCTCCCCGCGTTACCTTCCTCGGCGGCGAGGCCGGGGCGGCCCGCGGGCCACAGGGCCCTCCGGAGGCCGGACGCACCGTGGCCCCAGCGCAGCGCCGACATGCCACCCGCCGCGCCGCCCGCGCCGCCCGCGCCGCCCGCACTGCGCCTGCGCCGCCCGCGCCTGCCGGGAGTTGTAGTTCCGCGGCCTACGGCGGCTGTGACGGGACCACGCAGCGAGAGGAGGCAGCCGGAACCACAATTCCCAGGGAGCAGCGGGGCCGCGGAGCCTCGGAGGCATGCGCCGGCGGAGCTCTCTGATTGGCTCTTCCGTCTGTCTCGAAGGGGCGGGACAGAGCTGTTGCTTGGGTAACCGCGTGACGGGAAGACCGCTCCGGGAGGACCCGGAAGCCACGTTTGTTTGGGCCCGTGCGGTTGAGCGATTCCGGTCTGCGATTCCCAGGCTCCGCCGTCGACTCTGGGGCGCGAGCCGCGAGCCACGTACCGCGGGGGAGGCCGGCGTGGGCAGCTGCGGACCCGAGCCGGGCCGGCCGGGCGTCTCCGTCGCCCGCCCCGCCCGCACACCGGCCGCCTGGACGGACGCGAGGACGGACGGACCAGACGACCCGGCGCTCGGAGGCTCCCAGCGCGGCCCCCGACGTGACCTCGCTCCGGCGCGTGCGGGGCGGGGAGCCGGGGAGCATGTGCAGTGGCCGCGCCGGCAGCCCCGCGGCGGGTGCAGAGGCCCCGAGGCGCGTCCGGGGTGCTTGGCCGAGGCGGGGGGGCGGAGCCTGGGGAGGCAGGGGCGGAGCCTGGTGGCGTGGGGGCGGAGCCTAGGCGGGGGCGGAGCCCGGGAGGTGGTCAAGGGCGGGGCCTGGCGTGGGGGCGGAGCCCGGGAGGTGGTGGAGGGCGGCGGGGGCGGAGCCCGGGAGATAGCGAGGGGCGGGGCCTGGATGGGGGCGGGGCCCGGGAGGTAGCGAGGGGCGGGGCCTGGATGGGGGCGGGGCCTAGGGGCCGAGCCGGGGCGGCGGGGCCCGGGAGGTGGTGCAGGACACCGGCGCGGCGGGGGCGGAGCCCGGGGCGGCGACCCGCGTCCGCAGGCGTGGGCACCGGTCGCCCAGGGTGGAAGGGCCAGCCCCTGGGCCGCGCGGTCCCTCCACAGCACATTCCAGACGCGGCTGCCCACGCGGGGCTGGGCCTCATGATCCCAGCGGCGGGGAATGTGCCAGCCGCGGCCTCTGCAGGCGCCCGGGGCCTTGACCTCGGGTCTGACTCACTCCTGGGAGCGCCCTCGGCCCTGGGCCCCCCGAGGCCTAGACGCCCGGGACCCCTGCTCCCGCTGGAGCCCGGGAGGCTGCCCGCCCGCCCCCCGCCCCCCGCGCCCCAGGCCCGGCCGCACGGTCCCCTCCTAACACGGCTCATCGCCAGCGAGTCCCCGCGGGGCTCCCCGCTCCTGACGGTGACACCGAGTTTCCTTGTAAAACTTAGGAAAAAGGTGAATGATAGTTGAAGTGGCCCCGGGGCCCCGGGTTCGAGTCCCGCGTCGGGCTCCCTGCATGGAGCCTGCTTCTCCCTCGCCCTAGGTCTCTGCCTCTCTCTCTGTCTTCCTGTGTCTTTCGTGAATGAATAAATAAAATCTTTAAATTAAAAAAAATAGAAAAAAAACTTAAAATAGGGCAGAGAAAGGCAAGGGTCTGCAGATGGAGAGGAGGCTGGATCCCGGCGCTGCCTGTGGGGAGTTGCCACGAGCGGGGGCGCCTGCGGGCTCAGTGGCTTGAGCCTCTGACTCTTGGTTTGGGCTCCGATCGTCGTCTGGGGGTCCCATGAGCCCAGGGTCATGGGATCGAGGCTCATGGCAGGCTCTGTTTAGCGGAGTGTCTGCTTCTCCCTCTCCCTCTGCACTCTCTGTCTCTCTCTCTCAAATAGATCGTTAAAAAAGTAAATGAGTTACCACACACCCAGTGCCCTCGACGACAGAAGCGCATTTTCACATTCCTGGAGACCCACCCGACGCGCAGCATCAGCACCGTGGGCTGGAACCAAGGGCTCGCACTGGGAGCTCCAGGCGGGGGTCCTTGCTGCCTCGGGCAGCTTCTGGGGGCGCCAGGTCCCACGCCTGTGGCTGCACCCCTCGGCTCTCCGCCTCCGTGGTCGCATGGCCTCCTCTGTGTCTGTGTCTGATCTTGCCACGTTTCTCTCATAAGGACACTTGTGACCACACTTGGGGCCTGCTTAGGGTGCTTTCCTCATCTGCTCATCTTAATTTTTTTTTTTAAGACTTTATTCCTGAGAGACACAAAGAGCAGCAAAGACCCAGGCAGAGGGAGAAGCAGGCTCCGTGCAGGGAGCCCGATGTGGGACTCGATCCCGGGACCCCAGGATCATGCCCTGGACCCAAGGCAGATGCTCCACCAGAGCCACCAGGCGTCCTGAGCATCTTAATTTATTCGTATCTTTATCTGCCAAGGCTCTTTCCAAATAAGGTAAAACTCCCAGTTTCCTGGGATGAGAATATGGTCGCGTCTTTGACAGGGGCCGTCGTTCAGCTCATCAGAGATGACACGGGGTTTGTGACCAGGAAGCAAGGCTGTGTGGTAGGGCCGGCGGGGCGCCTGCCTTGGCTCAGGCCGTGACCCCGGGGTCCCGGGATCGAGTCCCACGCCGGGCCCCCCGCGGGGAGCCTGCTTCTCCCTCTGCCTGGGTCTCTCATGAATAAATAAAATCTTTAAAAAACCCCAGACCACCTTGCCTGCAGCAGACACGGCCTGTGCCCCGAGGTGGGGCCGCACCATCCCTGCAGCCTACTCTCATGCATCCGCTACGTGGAAAGGTCCCAGCGCGTGTTTCCTGAGGTGAGATGTCACAAGGGCGCATGTCAAGAATTCAGCTCGGGTGTCCGTGTCCCCCGAGCCCCTGGCACCGCCACCCATGGCCGACACACCCGCCCTGCCGCCTCCCACCGCACAGTGGTTCGCGCACAGTGTCGTGTTTATTCCCTGGGGAACCTGCTGCGGAGCCGAGAGACAGTGGCGCGTCATGGGCCACGTGGCAGCAATGCTCACAGCGCTGTCCTCACACCCACTCCATAGGCGTCGCGTCTCCCGAGGTCGCGCACCGTCTCTCCGCTCTGCCCGGTGAAGACGAGCTGCAGGATGTGCCCACGCGGGCCGCGGCGCGGCGGGTGGTCAGGAGGCGGGCTGGCGGCTCAGAGGTCCACCCTGACCCAGCAGGTCTACTTCTCTACGTACACGCGGGACAAAGGAAACCGCGTCCACGTAGAAACCAGTACACCCACGTCCACGGCGACACAATCCACAGCAGCCAAAAGATAGAAATGACCAAGTGTCAATAGATAAATGATACAGTCCCTGGACCCCGTGCAGGAGCAAGGCCCCCACGTGCCCCGGGGACGGACCCGAGCCCACACGCTCAGGGAGGGGACCAGACACAGGAGGCCCCACGGGCTGGGAGTCCTCGCGTGTGACACGTGCAGGGCAGGGAGGGGGCTCATGGAGGTAGGGGTGGGAGTTGGGGCCGGGGGGAGGGGCTGGAGGTGCAGATGGGGATGAGGGCGGATGGCGACAGGACTTCCTTTTGGGGCGATGGAATGTTCTGGAACTGGATAGAGGTGATGGCTGACGCCGCCACCTTGAAAACACGGAGTTGCAGGCTTACCTGGGCGCACTGTGAGGTATGTGAATTATATTTCAATGAAGCTGTTATTAAGCTCCAACAGCACCCGGGGCAGGACAGCTTCCTGGGCGTGGGTCCACCCCCACCTCACAGAGCCCCCAGCACTGTCGTCCTGGGGGCAGGGCGGGGACACTCCAGGAAGGGGAGTTTCTGGCTGCTGGGAATCAGGATGTTAGGAGTCTGTGCCCAGCGAGCTTGCGCGTCGCCGCCCTCCATCCTCCGGCCCACCTTCCAGAGGCAGCGCGAGGCTCGGGGTGGGGGTGGGGGGGACATGCACTCCCATCTCCGTGCCCAGGCCCCGGGGCTCGGGCACAGCCCGTAGGAGGCCCGCCTGCGCCCAGGAAGGAGGGTCAGGGAGTCCCCAGAGTGGGCCAAGGCTCCCCAGCTGCCAGGCGGCCCACTCCGCCCTCCAGCACTGCACCAGGCCAGGCCTGTCCCCTCGGCTTCACCTGGGTGATGCTTACGGTGCCACCTGGGCCTGCTGAGCAGAGGAGCAGTGGAGCCCTGGGGTGTGTCCTGTGTGCGGCCTGGGGCAGCTGCTGACCCACCCACCCCCGTGTCCCCACCTGTCAATGACATCGCTGGGCTCTGTCTGGGGAGGCTCGGTGCGCCCCTCGCAGGATCCGGGCCGCGGGGTGGCTCCCAGCGGGCCTGGGTGTGTCTAGTCATGAGCGGGGATGGCTGTCGATGGAGCCACCCTCCCGGGCCATGCAGCTCTGGACGCTGGGTTCAGGGCCCGCCCCAGCCATCATCCGCGCCCGGGTCAGCCGGCCACAGACGGGCTCGCGAGCGCGGCACCGCTCCCGTCCCCCGCCCAACCCCGGTGCGCCCGGCGGTCCCTGGGGTCGCTCGCTCCCTGGGGCCTGGCTCTAGGGGGCTCCAGCCTGGGGCCAGGCGAGTCCACCGGGCACGACCCCTGGCAGCTCCGCCCCTCCCGGGTCTCGGGCTCCCCCGGCGCTGTGTCCCGTGTCCCTCCGTGTCCCTGCGGGCCCGCCTGTCTCACACCCACGACCCCGCAGCCCCTGCAGGCTAAGCCGGTGACTCACGGACACGCACCGGCCTCCCCGCCCCGCAAGACAAACACGCGCGGAAGCAAGACAGTTCCCGACTGGCCCCGCCCTCGCCCCGCCCCCTGGCGCAGGCCCCGCCCACCGCCGGCCCCCGACCGCGGTTCCGCCCCGCCCCCTGGCGCAGGCCCCGCCCACCACCGGCCCCCGACCGCGGTTCCGCCCCGCCCCCTGGCGCAGGCCCCGCCCACCGCCGGCCCCCGACCGCGGTTCCGCCCCGCCCCCCTGGGCGCAGGCCCCGCCCCTGCCTCCCTATTGGCCCGCGCCGGCCGGCCCCGCGTGGCCCCGCCCCCCGGCGATGGCCGAGCCGCGGCCGCGCGGGGGGCGGCGAGAGCGGGCGGCGAGCGGGGCGCGGGGCGCGGGGCGATGCGCGGCCGCCTGTGGCTGGGGCTGGCGTGGCTGCTGCTGGCTCGGGCGCCGGGCGCCGCGGGGACCCCGGGCGGCCCGCGGAGGCCGCGCAGCTACCCGCACCTGGAGGGCGACGTGCGCTGGCGGCGCCTCTTCTCGTCCACCCGCTTCTTCCTGCGCGTGGACCCCGGCGGCCGCGTGCAGGGCACCCGCTGGCGCCACGGCGCGGACAGTGAGTTCGGGGCCGGCGGGCGGGCGGGGCCGCAGCCGTGGGGGGGACCCGCCGGTCGTCGTCCCGCGGGGTGTGCGGCGTCGGCCCAGCCGCTCCCGGCTGGGGCCTCGGTTTCCCCAGCTGTGAAATGGGCCCGGCGCAGGCGCTGGAGGGTTGGACAGCGGAGGGAACGCTCCCGGCTCCGGGCCTGGCTCCAGCAGCAGAGAAAGGTGTTTGCCGAATAGGTGAGGCAGGGTCCCTGGGCGCCTGGGCCGAGCGAAGCCCCCCCAGGTCCCGGGGACACCGGGAGCTGGGAGCAGAGCTGGGGTCCGCGCCGCGCCCAAGCTCAGAACCCGCCCGGGTGGGGGCCCCTCTGTTTGTTCCCACACACCCTCTAGGTGGCCGAGGCCCAGAGAGGGCAGACCACGGCCCCAGGGTCACCCGGCTGGCGTGGGCGTCGGGGTGTTGCTGGCGCTCCTTAACGCCCAGAACCTTGTCGGTTGGAGTCACCGCGCTGACGCCCTGCCCAGCAAACAGGAGGCACTCAATAAGTGTTTGTGGAATGTATGCAGGCGAGGAGGCACGAGCAGAGGGGGCGGAGGAGCCCGGGCACCTGCGGCGGGCCGTGCCCCTGCGGGCCCATCTGCCGGGAGCTCCGGGGCCGGGCTGGGCAGCGGGGCGGGGGGTGTAATCATGGCCACTGCCTGAATCACCACCATTAGGGCAGATAATCACCCCCTGCCCTTGCAGCTGCTTTCATCGGGCTCCCAGGGCTCTCATTAGGCGCACCGGACAGGGGCGATGACGAGGGGACTGGCTGGGCCGGTGCATCGCTGGTGGGCACCGGCTGGCAGGTGGCTCCAGGCCGGCTGTGGGGCCCGGGCCTCCGGGTGACTCGGGACGGGCGCTGCGTCTCTCGGAGCCTCGGGTTCCCCATCTGGGCAGCAGTGGTGGTGACTCGCGGGTGGTGACTCGCGGGGTGCGAGGCCTCGCGGGGGAGCTCTGTGGGGTGGGCGTGTGGAGCCCTCCTCTCCTTCCCTACTTCTGCGGTCATTGACTGGGTGGCTCCCGTGTGCTGCAGTGGGCGCAGGGAGGTCGCCGTGACCAGCCCGCCCTCGAGAGGCTCCCACAGCAGAGGGCAAAGCGGTTACACACGCGATCAGCTAACAGGGTCATTTCACAGGAGGCCACATAGGGTGCGAGTCAAATGAAAATAGGGTGAGGTCCTGGTGCAGCTTAATCTGAGGGGCCTGGGGTCCCCGAGGAGGTGGGCCTGGGTGGGCTCTCCTGCAGACAGAAGCTGACTGCGCGAGAGGAGCCGGGTGCCTGACGGGGGAGGTCGCGGGTACAGAGGCCCCATGCTGCGTGGGGTGAGCTCCCCATCGCCTGAGGCATCCAAGTCCAGGCTGCAGACCGGAGGGCAAAGCCTCGACTCCAGATTAGCCCCTGGTACACGGCGGGGCCCGGGTGTGGGAGACTCCTCACCCCTCAGGTCTGCACACTGGGCAGCGGGGACAGGGGGAGCCATGGGGAAGGCTCCCAGGGGCTCCCCCGCCTGCCGATGGGGCCCCACACTGGCTCTGGCACGTCCCAGGCCTCAGTTTCCCTCTCTGGGGAGTGGGCACGGTCAGCACCCCCCACCGGGGTTGTGGGGTGCGGTTGGGGCTCCCTGAGCACCCCATGTCCCCCGCCATCCGGAGCTCCGTGTCCCCAGCCGGGATGGCCAGGGCGGGAGGCCGTGCACCGCCGGTGTGGCCGGCACCCACACCCATCCTGCCTGTCCTGTTTATCACCTGCTGTGACAGCGGAGCTCCAGGCGCCCCCCACCCCAAAGCCCTCCCTCCCCTGCACTCGGCTGCGGCTCCCAGGCCCTTGGGCCCCTCCCCGCTGACGTCCTCCCACCTTTCTGCCCCCGCACCCCCGGGTGCTCCCGGCCCCTCCTGGCAGGGCCTGTGGCTCCCCCGTGTCCGCGCTCGGGGCCCAGCCCCCAGGAGGCCTGGATGACCCATGAGCCAACAGGAGCGCTGGGGCCGGGGGGGCAGGCCCTGGCTGACCCCCAGCCTCCCCCCAGGCATCATCGAGATCCGCTCCATCCGCGTGGGCGTCGTGGCCCTCAAGGCTGTGCACACGGGCTTCTACGTGGCCATGAACCGCGGGGGGCACCCGTACGGGTCGGTGAGTGCCGCGCGCGGGGCCGGCGGGCGGCCGGGTGTCTGCCGGGGGGGGGGGGGTGCCCGTGGCCCACCTCACACGCCCGACCCCCCGAAGCGGGTCTACACTGCCCACTGCAGGTTCCAGGAGCGCATCGAGGAGAACGGCTACAACACGTACGCCTCGCTCCGCTGGCGCCACCGCGGTCGGCCCATGTTCCTGGCGCTGGACGGGCAGGGGGCCCCGCGGCGTGGTGGCCGGACACAGCGGCACCACCTGTCCACCCACTTCCTGCCCGTCCTGGTCTCCTGAGGCCGCCAGGGCTTCCACGAGGGGTCTGAGCCGCGTGGCCCGGGGCGCGGCCCAGCACGTCGGGTCACTCCCCGTTTCCAAGCGCTCCCGGGGCGGCCGCCGCGTGCTGGGCCGGGCACCTGCCTGCCTGACTCCCGGGAGCTCCCGAGTCTGGGGACAGGCGGACGCCGAGCTGAGCAGAGGCCACAGGTGTCCAGTCACAAGCGGGGGGCACGGACGCCCCAGAAACGCTCCGCCCGGGCCGGAGCCTGAAGGATGTGGCCAGGGGTCGGTCCCCAGAAGGGCTGGGACGCGGCCGAGGCGGCTGGGAGGTGGGAACCCGTTGGGGTGTTGGAGGCTGGGGGAGGGGCAACACGGAAGTGCCACGGGGTGACAGGTCTCCATCCTGGTCCCGGGAGGTGGGGGTGACCTGGGGTCCTGGGGGGGTCCCCCCGAGGGGGAGAGCCCCAGACACGGGCAGACCCCGCGAGGCTGGTGGTGACGGAGCAGGGGCCGCGGGCGGGGGAGGGAACGCCCCTGGAAGGTGGGGAGCAGGGGGGTCTCCCTGGGGCCCTGGGGGGGGGTGACCAGTCCTGCCTGCCCCTGGGTTTTAGGACTTCTGAGGCCATCAGAGCACCCGCGTGAGCGGTGGCGTCCCACCGGAGCACACACACGCGCACGCGGGTCTCCAGCAGCTCCGGCGGTGACCGTGGGGCGGGGCAGGCAGGGCGGGTGGTGCAGGGGGCCCCGTGCAGGCCGAGGGGCCGCGGGGCTGCTCCCTCCCAGCACCCCGAGCCCTGCCACCGTGGGCCGGGAGCACGCCGCGCCGGGAGGGCGACGGTCCTGGGGGCTCCCACCCCCAGCAGCCACCCTGCACCTGGAGGATGAGGTCGGGGAGCACGTGCTGGAGGGGCGCTGGGTGGGGCCGGGGCCCTCGGTGAAGCTCTGCAACCTCGGCGGCTGTCGCGGGCGGGGCGGCTCCCAGGCGGGTCCGCGGCCACGGAGCTGGCGAAGGCGCGACCTCGGGGCCGCACAGCTCGGCCCCCCCAGCGCCGCACAGAAGGAAAACACCGAGCACCCGCTTGTTTCTAAGTAGGTGTATTTTTAAATAGCTTTCAAGATACACATATTTTTTTCCTTTAAAAAACGTCTGTCGGAGCAGTTTTGTTGTGTTGCTGGTCGTCCTGTGGTCCCGAGCCCCCTGCGCTTGGCTTGGGGCCTGGTGGCCTGTCCGGGCATCGCGGAGACCCCGGCCTAGCGGCTCCACCCGGTCTTTCCACAGATCATGCAGGGCCGCACGTGAGCTAAAACGTCCATTTATTTCAAAGCAGTAATAATTTAAAATTATAAAAACCTTTCCGCCGTGGACTGTGTGGAGGGTGAGGTTAGAGACAAACGGGTGGGGGAGCCGGGGGCGCCGTGTGCCCAGGCCCCTGCGCCTGACGCCCCTCGGGGAGGCCTGAGCTCTCTCCAGCCTGGAGGCGGCGGTCCTCCGAGTCTCTGCCCGCAGCGGGGGTGGTGTGGGCGCCGAGGCGGGTGGGGGCACCTCCAGGCTCCAGCTCCGCGGCGCCCCCCACCGCCCCGCAGGGCCTGGGGCGCGAGGTCCTGTGCTCACCGGGGGCGGCCGGAGGGGGGCGGGGCGAGGGGCTCAGGAGTTGCCGGCTGGGTTTTCGTTGCTCGGCGAGCTGGAGGACGACGACGACGAGGAGGACGAGAAGCTCACGCCGGTCAGGCCCGGGGGTTGGTGGCTGTGTTCTGTCCCGTGAGGCTTTTCCGGCACACAGGGCAGCTGTCGTGCTTTGTGGGGACAGAGGGGGGGGCGGTTCAGAGGCCGAGCGCGGGGTGGGGGCCCAGAGGCCGCGGCCCAGGGGCTCACCTGCTGCAGCCAGGGCACGATGCAGCCGTCGTGGAAGAGGTGGCTGCAGGGCAGCTGCCGCACGCGCTCCCCCAGCCCGTAGTCGTCCTTGCACACGGGGCACTCCAGCCCGGAGCCTGCGGGGCAGGGAGCCTGTGACAGCCCGAGACCCGCGGGGCAGCCCTGGGGCACGCGGGGCGGACTCCCGAGCCCCGTGTCCTGGGGAGGGGACGGTGTCGGGACAGGGACCGCGGCCCCGCGGCCGAGAGCCACACACCTACGTGTTCCTCGGTGACGGGGACGGTGGGGAGGGCCTGGATTTTCTCTTTGTCTGCAGGCGGGGGGCCTGTGTTTTCAAACTGATTGAGGAGCTGAAAGACAAGAGGCCAGAGTGCCGGGAGCTCGGCAGGCAGGCGCGGCCCCTCGCCCCGCAGGGCCCTGAGATCAAGGCCGGGTTACCTGCAAAAGCACCAAGGCTGGTCCTCAGACCCCCCTGAAGCCGAGCCCCGTGCTCCTACCCGCGCTTCTGCTTGTCCCGTCAGGGCCACCTCGAACCCAGGGGGCGGCGGCCCTGCGGACAGCTCGACCCCTCCCGGCACCGAGAGCCAGGCCCCCACCCCCCGCCCGGGGGGGGCTCAGGATGTGGAGGTTCACAGGCACCCCAGGGCGGCTGGGGCAGGGCACCCACCCCGGGGACCCTCGTCCCCTGGAGCATGGCCCGTCCCGCATCTCATCCTCAGCACAGGGAGATGGCGACTCCCCGGTGCCCACTGCGGGGCGGCCACCCTGTACCTGCGTGATGATGGCATCCAGGCCGTTGGCCCCCCAGGCGTAGTCCATCGGGTTTGAGTGCAGGACACCCCTGGGCAGAGAGGTCTGGGGTTCAAGTGGCGGAGGGGCCGGGGAGGGCCCCAGGGGACCCGCCCCCCTACTCACCAGGGGCCCAGGCCCAGGCTGGGGATGCTGGCGGGAGTGATGATGCCGTTGACCAGCTGCTGGATGATCCTGGAACAGAGCGGGGGCCGGGCCTGTGGTCAGCGCCCTCCCGGGCGGGGCCCTGTGCGTCTGAGCCCACGGGGACGGGCCAGGCTGCACCTGTGAGGACGCTGGCGGCCGGGCCGTCCCCGCTGGGGGTGGGGCCTCCACGGAACAAGCCTCAGCCCGCAGCACGGAGGGAGCTCGGGCCGAGGAGCGGAGACGCCGGCACCACCCTGCTCGCCTGCCGCTGGGACACCGGGACCCAGATGTGAGCGGACAAGTCTCAGCCATGGCGTGGGGGGGGGGGGGGGGGGACGGGCAGGGACAGCCCGGAAGGACGGGGCACGGCACGGACCAGGGGCCTCGCTCAGGGCCCCCCCCCGGGGCCCCCAGGACCCTCAGAAGGGCACACGGCCAGTCCGCCGAGTCGGGATGGGGCAGGCCGCCAGACTCCCAGGAGCGCCCCCGCCGGCGGCCCCCTCGTGCCCTCACCCTTCCAGCGTGGGGACGCCTTCGTGCCGGCCGGTGGCCCGCCGTGCGGTGAGGCGAGCGCGGGGCTGCCGGGCGCCATACCGGTGCCGGGAGTGTTGCTCTCTCTCCCGCCGGCTCTCGGGGTCCCTGCCCTCTTCGGCCTGCACCCCAGGGGGGAACGTGGGGATCTCGAAGCTGTCGTCAAAGATGCCGAAAGCAAACTGCCCGTAGCCCTGCGGCAGCGTGAACAGGTGCTGGTCCACGTTCTGTGGGGAGGAGGGCCGTGATCACGGGCAGGGCAGCAGGCCCTCGCCCGGACCCCACGTCTCCTCCGGGCGCCACGGGGCGCGGTCCCAGGCTCGGGGCTCGGAGGGAGGGGGACGCACCAGGGGAGCCTCGGTGTGTGCGGGACAAAGGAGGGAGGAGAGTCCCCAAGGGTCAAGGGACAATAGTCAAGGGTCAGGCCCAAGGGACAGCCTGACGGGGGAAGGGGGTAGAGGAGGGCAGGGGGCACAGGGGAGGGCAGCTGCCTGGAGTGAAGCCTGCGGTCTGCGGTCTGGGGCCGACTCACCTCGAACGGCGGCCTGCTCTGGTCCGTGGGGGCCGTGGAGGGTGCGGACCCGTTCTCTGTGCTCCTGGGAGGACGGCGCAAGTCAGCAGGGGGTCCCCCGGCCTCGGGGCTGCCCCCCCACGTGGCCCATCTGGGCTCTGCCCACAGACCTGAACCACCCCAGGGGCCTGGGTCGGGCCGCGTGCACCTGGGCCGCGTTACCTGGTCTCTTCTGGAAGCTCCTCAATGAAACCAGACTCGCATCTGGGGCAGATGTAATCCTGCGGAGGAGAGGGCGGGTGAGCGCCGGGCCGGAGGGGCCGCGGACTCAGTGCAGGACACGCTCCACAAGCACCTGGGAAACCGCTCAAGGCCAGGGTCAGACCCACGGGGCGGCCTCGGCGGGGCACGGGCACCCATCACCCGGGGCGACGGCCGCTGGGTCTCCAGGCCTGGAGCCCCTGGACCCGCCTCTGCTGCAGGGGACCCCGCCACAGTCCACCGCACCAGCTGCCGAAGGCTCTGACAAGGCCTGTACCAAACGGGGTCCACGGAGCAGCCCCCACGTGCACACAGAAGCACCCGCCCCAAGCTCCTGGGAGGGTCGCACGACTGACCTTGGGGCCCCAGGAGCTCATGTCCCAGGAAGGTGACCACGGAGGCTGGAAGTGCCACCCAGGCAAAGGGACCGGCCTGTGGGCGTCCCATGACGGCACTTCTGGAACATTCCTGCAGCCCCAGCACAGAGCCTGTGACCCCATCCCCACTGGCCACGCCCTTCCCGGCTCCCCACCCCCCACTGGTCAGACGGGGGAGACGGAGATGTCCTGACTGGAGGCTGGGGGGCCGGCCCAGGGGCAGCGAGGTGGGAAACACCAGACCCCACCTCTGGTTCCCAGAAACAAGCCCAAGCCCACACCCGTGAGGGTCCCAGAGCCGCAGGGTCGGGAAGACAGCTCAGCTCTACCTTCGGGGACTTTCAGAAGCGCTCACCCCGGTGGGAGAGAAGGGGGCGCTGACCGTCCCAGGGGGGCCACGGGCACAGGGCACAGGGGCTGTGACCGTCCCCCGGGGGAGCAACACCGCGGCTCAGCCTGGCCCTTCCCTGCTGACATCCAGGAGCGCCAGGCACCTCACCTCCATCAGGGCAGCGGGTGCCACCGCAGCACAGGCCGCGACCCCTGCACTCCCCGCGCTGCCGAAGGCAAAGGGGCCCCCAAAGGGGTCTGAGCCCGGGGGGAGGGTAGCAAGAGCTGCATAGGCCGTGGGAACTGAATCCCAGATACACACACACCCTGGTAATTCATCGACCGAGGTACAAACAACCCAACTAAAAACGGCTCAAGAACCAACACGCAGGTCTCCAAAGACACGACGGAGGCCGCCCAGCGCCCTGGGCCCAGGCACCGCACCCCAGAACCCGGGACACGCGGCCTGCCCGCAACACACGATGACAAGTGGCGCGAGGATGCGAGGACGCGGAGCCATCAGAACCCCACCAGGCGGGGGGCCGTGACCCGGGGCAGCCGCTTCGGACACAGCCCCGTGGTCCCTGGAAGAGCCGCACGCGGAGTCATCGACCGACCCCACAGTTCTGCAGCTGCCCATGTGCCCGGGGGGCACAAGGACACACGTCACACAAAACCCATCACACGTCCACGGGGATGTGGCCCAGCCATGCGCAAGAGCATCACTCGGTCGCCCGCGGGAGCGAGGCCCCCCCAAGACGCCACCCCGGGGACGGACCCCAGCCCCCGACGCTCGGGGAGGGAACCAGACACAGGAGGCCCCTCGGGGTGCGAGTCCACGCGTGTGACACGTCCAGGACGGGCTCGTCCACGCACGGGGAGAGGGCCGGGGGGGCCGGGGGATGACTGATGGGGACGGGGTGCCCTTGGGGTGATGGAATGTTCCGGAACTGGATAGGCTGGTGGGTGCACGACTCCCGCGTGTACAGAAAGCACAGACGCGCACCCTGTGCACAGGTGGGCGGTGTCTCAACAAGGCTGTGAGGAGGAGCAGTGAGGACAGTGACCTGCGCCCCTCTAAGTGGGGCCGTGGGGGCAGCTCTGCTGCACACGGGGGGACCGGCCTGGGCAGGCGGCACGTGGAGGCGTCTGCCTGGGGCTCCCCTCGGCCCAGGGCTGGTGAGAAGGCGCGGGCTCTCCCCGTTTCCTCGCGGAGCCCACCTGCCCACACCTGCCTGTCAGCCGGGGGCCTCCGTGAGCAGTGGCCCCTGCGTCCCCCGAGCACGCCGCCTGTCCCCAGCCCCGCGCCACCTGGGCAAGGCTGAGGGGCCGGAGCGGAGCTGCCGGGGCTTGCGGCGGCTCCTGAGCGTCCCCCGGCGCACGAGCCCCTGGTCCCGCTCCCTGCTCTGCACTCTGCCCTGTGGGCACCCCAGCCGGCCGCTCCCGCTCCCCTGCCCTCTTCTCAGGGCCTGCGCACCAGGCCCTCTGCGGAGCGTTCTCCCCCAGATAGCTACCTGGCTCGCCCCCTCTCCAAAGCCGGGTCTCTGCTCAAACGTCACCTCCTGGCTGCGAGCCTCGGTCTCCCCACCTGTAAACGGAGGACGGCCTCAAGCCCAGAGCCCTGGAGTCCGTGGCCACTGAGGACCAGAGGGCTGTGGCTCCTCTGCTGGCCGTGGGCAGGGCCCGGCCTCCGTGCCCTCTACCCCGAGCAAGCCCCACGCCCTGAACCCAGATGTGCCCGTCTGAGCCGTGGACCACCTGGTGCAGGATTTCAGGCAGGCTCCAGCCTCTGCTCGCAGGCAGCGGGGAAGGGACCAGATCCGGGGGTGTCCCCGCGCTCTGCATGCCCCAAAGGCTTTGGTTGGCCCGAGCAGCCAAGCGAGGAGACCCCCGATGGAGCGGGTCCCGAGCCTGCGTCCAGGTGGGGGCAGCCCGTGCTCGCCCGCCCTAACTCGCGAGCACCCGTGTCTAACCAATGGCTCCTCACCGTGAACTGCTCGTAAGAGGAGGGCAGGGGGAGGCGAGGGGACGACCCCACCCGATGATGCGCCTAAGAGGTGCACTAACCCGTCCTGAGTGACAAGGAGCACACGGGGTGCAGACAAGGGAGCGCCCAGGCCAGGCAGGTACGGGTAAACGGGGGACCCCCTGGCGGAGTCACAGCGGCGGCTGCCCCCCCCCCCCCCCCGAGATCGTCTGCCCTGGGTGAGGTGGGCCCTAGGGGCGCCCCAAGGGGCCAGAACTCCAAGAGCGGTGCAGACCCAGGGAGGACCCAGGTGCAGAGCCGAGCCGGAGGGACTGAGGCTCGGGCCCACACGCAGACGTGGGACTCCCCTGCCCCACCAGCCCCCGGACCCCAGGAGCGCACCTGCTGCCCACAGCCCGCCTCAGCTGCCACTGCGCAGAGGGACCCGCCCCCCGCACTTTCTTGCTGTGGTCTCAGCAGCTGCCACCACTTCCCACGTTCACACCCCATCTGTCCCCCGAGCGGAGCGCCCGTGAGCGTCGCGCCCGCTGCCGCGTGCCGGGGTGCGGAGCCTCGGCAGGGCCCGGCAGGGTGCGCGGCCTTCCCGCCCAGGGCCACCCGGGCCCACCTTCCTCGGTCTTCCCAGGGGGCTTCTGACGCGGCTGCTGGGGACTGGGACCCCCTGACCGCACACGCGTGGCAGCCCCCAGCGGGCCCACGCGGCTCAGGGGGGCGCCCCAGCGCGCGGCCTGCCCAGCACCCAGCACCCAGCACCCAGCGCCTCTTGGGCTCAGCCTGCTTCCATCCCCGCTGACGTCAGACCCTGAGCAGCAGCAGCCCTCCCTGGAGCACCCAGTGGAGGCGCGGGGTGGGGGCGTCCGCGGAGCCCGGCCCAGCTCCGTGCTCTGCGCTCCAGGGACCCGGTGGGGTCCGCCGCGCGCTTCGCCTCTCCAGCTGCGGACGACGGCTCAGCGCGGAGCAGGGCGCAGGAGGCGGCCGCGGGGTGCCCGGCGGGCGGGGAGGCGCCCCCGCCGCGTCCCGGGGAGGGGAGGAGGAGTCTGGGCGCGCGCGGCAGCCCGCGGGCCTCCGAGCCGGCCGCCTGCCTGGTCCTGCCCCCACACGCCCGGCCCCAGCGAGGCCGCCAGCCTGGCCCCGGGCGGGCTCCCCGGACCCATCCTGCGGGCGGGAGCGGAGCGCCGCGGCGGGGAAGCCCCGAGGGCAGGCACGGGGCCGGCCGCCTCCCCGCGAGCCGAGCGCGCGCGCCCCCGGCCGACGGCGCTCACCGCCGCTGCCCGTCCGCGCCGTCGCGGTCCCCGAGCCTGGGCCCTGAGGACAAAGGTCGGGGCCGCGGCTCAGGCCGCCGACCCGGAAGTGGCCGCGCAGCGCCCGGGGGTCGGGGGTCGGGGGTCGGGGGTCGGGGCGCCGGGGGCCGGGGCCCGGCTCGGGGCGCAGCAGCCGGAAGCGGCGGCGCAGGGCTTCCGGGAGCCGCGGGGCACGTCGGGCGGCCCGGCAGGTGCGGCGCACCTGGGCCCCGGCCCCTGGAGCCCCGGCCCGGCACGAGCAGCGCCCGCCGCCGCCGCCGCCGCCGCCAGCCCGCGGGGACGCGGGGACGCGGGGACGCGGGGACGCAGGCCGAGCCCGGGCGCGCCGCTCCACAGGTCGCCGCCGCGCCCGCCCCGGGGCCCCCAGGCCGCGGCCGCCAGGCCCCCGCCCCCGCCCCCTCCGCCGGCGCCGGTCACGCGGCCGCGGCGGCCTCAGTTTCCCCGGCGGGGCCGGCCCGCCTCAGGCCGAGGGAGCGCTCCCGCCGCCGCCGCCGGCCCGGGCCTCACCGGCAGGCGCGGCACGATCTCGACGGAGCAGCAGTGGCAGAAGTACCGTCCGGGCTGCGGCGACGCCTCGGCCATGGCCACTGCCGCCTCCTCCGCGCCGCCCGCCCCCCGCGCGGCGCCCGCCGCCGGCCGTTTGCTGCTCCCTTGCCGGCCGACGCGCCCGCGCACGCTCACGCACGCTCACGCACGCTCACGCACGGCACGCACGGCACGCACAGCGTGGGGCGGAGGAGCGCGCGGGAGCGAGGCGGGCGGCGCGCGCGGCGGGCGCCGTCCGGGCGACGGTGGTCGCCGAGGGACAAACTCGGCCGGGCGCCTCGCGCGCGGAGCCGCGGGCGGGGGGCGGGGCTTCTGGCGGGGGCGGGGCTCCGGGCGGGGGGCGGGGCCGAGATACCCGGGCGGGGAGCGGGGGTGTGGCTGGGGACGAGCCCGGCTGGGAGGCTGGAGGAGGCGGAGGGGCGCGGCCTGCTGGGGCGGGGAGCCCCCCGGCGGGAGCCCCCCTCTTCCCCGACCTGCCTCCTCGGCTCCCCCACCCCGCGTGCCACCGATCTGACCCCGCGTTGTTGCCCCCGGGCCTTTGCACGACACCTGCGTGCCTTTCCTCCTCCCTTTCCTGAGGCCTGAGATGCTCCTCGGCCACACTTTCTCGCACTTACTCGTCCCGGCGGGAGCCTGCACGCCCGGGCCCTAATGAGGTCCCCAGGTGTCCCGCAGGCCCCGGGCCCGCAGCCTGCGGAGGGGAGACCCAGGCCGGCTGCGCGCAGCGTGACCCGTGGAGCACGGCCTGAGGCTGCCGCGTGTGGCCTGGTTTTCGAGCGCGAAGGAAACCTGACGCCCTCCCCCCACCCCACAAACTAACCCGCAAAACTTTGATGATCACCAGGCACAGGCCGGGATCGTTCCTAAGGCCAATTCCAGCCCGACCGCGCATCTATTTACGCCTCCATCACACGCTCATTGAGCACCTGCTGCACGCAAGGACACGCGTGGAGAAGCACTCAGCGGGCCGTGAAAACGGGGCCACAGGGCTGGATGCAGACGCCAGCCCCGTGACACTGAGCCAAGGATGGGTTCCTGGGGCTGGCCCTGCCTGGGGGGGCAGACGGGGCTTCCTGGGCGAGGGGGCATCTGAGCCAGGGCCTTGAGGACCGGACGGGAGTAGGCTGGCGCTGGGCTGCCCCAGAAGCGGGCAGTGCAAGCGGAGTGTCAAGCAATTAACCCTGGAGCCTGTGTGCAAAGGCTCTTGGATGTCGGGGGGCCAGGGACTCGGGTGCCAGCCAGTCTTGTCCCCATCAAGGTTCACAGGTGACTCCAAGCCATTCCTGCTCTGACCCCTGGAGAGCACGCTGGTCCCGCCTCTGGGAATCCAGGAAACCTGTGCCTCCCACGCCCAGCCCCTAGCTCGTTGACACCACAAACCCTTCCACCCATCCAGCCTGCACAAGTTCATGAGGTGTCGCCCCAGCGGCCCCAGAAGCAGCCGGCCCCGCTGCCTGTGAGACCCTGGGTAGGTCACTTTGCTTCTCCGGACACAGGGTCCCCGCAGGGAGCCTGCTTCTCCCTCTGCCTGCATCTCCGCCTCTGTCTCTGTGTCTCTCATGAATAAATAAAAAAAAAATAAAATCTAAAAATAAAATAAAATAAAAATAAGTTCTCCGTACACATTGCAGAACCTGCCGCCCGGGGTTCCGGGACTGGATGAGGCTTGGCGCACGCACAGGCACCCACGGCACCTCCTCCGTCCTCAGCGGGCCCTGCTGCCGCCCCGAGCTCATCATCACTGGCTCCCCTGGGCGGGCCAAGCCGCCTCCCGCCCCGGGGCCCTGGTCCGCTCGGGCCCTCCCCACCGTCCCTTCTCTTTCCCCGCTTGTCGGGAGGCTGGCCCTATCCCTTTGTGAGGGAGTCCCAGCCCATACAGCACCCCGCGGCCCAGCACCCTCTTTCCTTCTGCAGCCGCCCCCGGCTCCGAGCTGTCAGCGGCATCACAGAGGCCAGTGCTCAGCACGGAGCCGGTGCCCGCGGGTTCCCGGGCACATGAATAATCAGCGGGCCCCTGCTGGGTGCCGGCTGCAGGCCGGGACCCGGGAGCGCAGGGGAACACGGAGCCAGGGTTTTGCGTGTCATAAGACCACGAGCTCAGTGTGTGCCAGGCCTGAAGTTTAATCTTCCTGCAAGCGCCATGACCGGGACCCCGTTTTAGAGCCGGGGAGACGGAGGGTTCAAACAAGGTGGTGCAGCAGGGCCAGGACTCGAGCCCAGGCATGGGCACTCCGGGGCCCTGCGTGGGCTCTTGCCTGCTGGCCGGCCTGGGACTGCGGCGTTGGAACGCAGGTGCTCAGGCGGCGGCCGCAGGTGACCCAGTGGCTCCAGGGTTCTGGGGCCCTCAGGCTGCCGGGACACCCTTGGGCAGCGCCCTCATGTGCGGGCACAGCAGAACCCCGGTGGCTCCTGTCCGTCTCCTGGCATCTCCCTGGAAAGGCTTTGGTGGTGGATTACGGAGGCAGGGGGACGCCTGGGCCCTAGAGATCCCACCCGCCCCGCCCCCCACAGGGCCATGCCTCCCCCCCAGACTTCCCACAACGCGTGTGCTTGCCTCTTGACCCTACAGGACAAGGCCAGTCAGCTCCCATCTGCAGCACGGGGCTCCCCTGCCTCCGGCAGCCGCGACCCTGGTTTCCCAACTCTCTCTGGTCACCAGGCCTCCGCGCCCC